GCTCTCCTCCAGCATAGCCATCTGCCGGACAGCATCAGCATTCTGGCGGATGAGCTCCCGCATCTTAGCATCCTGCTCAGCCTTGCGAAGGCGCCGCTCCTCTAGCCGCCGGGCTTGCTCCCCGAGGGCAATGCAGGTCTGCAAAAAACAAAGGAGTTAGCAGGGCCAAACATGGTTGCTTAGCTCAAAGTGAAGAAGAAAGACATGATTACCGAAGACTTACCGTGAGGGAAGACCGGAGGATCCTGTCCTCGAGGGCTTCATCTTCATCAGCCCCGAGGGCTACTCTGTCGATCTCGAGGGTTATGCCTCTCAGAAGTGCCCTCGGGTCAGCCGTGCCGTTCATCACGGCCGTACCAGCCGGGAGGGAAACCATAAGGACCTCGGAAGATGGCCCCTGAACACCCGACGACACTTTCGCCATCGGCATCTCCTCATGCGCCCCGGGGGCGGGGCATTCATCAACAATGATCACCGGGGGGACTTTCTTCCCGGCATCCCCGGTCTTGGGCTTTTTGCCCTCGGGATCTCGGCCCGTGCCTTTCCTTTTGGCGGCGGCAGTCGCTTCAGCACTTGGGCCCGCCGATGGCCCCTCCGGCTTCTTAAAAAAGTCCCCGGCGGGTTTCAGGACACCAGCGTCCGTCCCCCTCGGGCCCTTGGAAGGTTTTTTCTTCTTCAGCAGCAACGGTCTTCTTCTTGGGGCCAGCTGTCTTGGCCTTCTTCTTCCCGGGGGCCACCCGGAGGGGAACTGCATTCAGCGGCTGAGAGGTACTGGCCTCACCAGCACCCCGAGGGGGAAGGACGGCCACAGTAACCTTCGCCCTCTCCTTTTCCTCTTCCTCCTCAGCAACTTGGACGGCGAGGGCCAACTCCTCATCTTCGACGGTCCGCTCGAATTTCTCCGCCTTGACCTCGGCCGTCAGATCCTTCTGCACCTCGGTGGCGAGGGCTGCATCACCACCATCCGAGGGCTGACCGCTACTGGACTCCATGTCGGACATGCCTTCGTCCTCCATCGAGGGCGTCCTCGAGATGTCCTGGGAATCGCTCTCGGACGACATTTTTGTCACGAAGTGTGCCTAAGATTTCGAAGGCTTTCTACAGGACTAACCCTAATCTAAGGCCAGAGGGCGGAACTTACTAAAAATTTGGAGAGGAAAGCAGGCACTGACCTTGAAAGCAGAGTTTTGACCGAAGGCTGGAGTTTCTCTCACTAGAATTTTTGGCAGAGCTTCGCTAAGACAACTGATCGCACAAGAGGAAATGGCTCTGGCCTTGGGGTATTTATAAGCGCTGGAATCCGGGCTTGGGCCTGGATTCCGGGCCTCCGGATGGACGCCATCATTACACACCGCGTCTCCGCCCAACCGGTGATGCCGCCCACGGACAGCCAGCCATCACACGCCACGTGTACCCCCCCCAACGGCTATAAACCTGACGTTACATATTCCAACGGCTATATTTCCGATGGCTATATGCTGGAAGCCCCCGGGTTTTCTACTTCACTCCACTTCATCAAGGTGAGCCTCCGGGTACACTTACCCAGAAACGCCCCCGGGTTGTGCCCCACACAGCACATAACAGACGCCTTCGGGATCACTCTTTCAGAAACCCAGGGCTTCATACCAGGGCACCCCTCGGTGATCCCCCCTCAGCACTGTAAAACCGGATAGCCCCCGGGGAGTCGCCTCATTAACGGATAACCCGTGGCACACGGGTAATGGGAGCCCTCGGGTACCTTCATCACCATCAAATCAACGAACAGTGGACCCCCCGGTAACAACTCCACTGCTGCCCTCATCCAGCAGGCCCTCGATCCCGGATTGAGGGGCTCCCCTTCGGCACCCCCAGGACATCAACAGCAAGCCTTCGGCTAATCAACACATGAACGCTCAGAAAAGGAAGAGCCTTCGGCATTACCGTTGTTCTCCATTTTTGACCAAGGTTTCACATTTTCGATTCATCATTGGGGGAATTCGGTGCACTCTTTTTCCCTCATTAGGATTTTTTCCCCCAGGGTTTTTCCTAATGAGGTTTTTAACGAGGCATCCCCCCAAAATGAAACGAAAAGCGTCAGCCTTCGGCCCACAACAGCAACGCAACTACTCTACTCCTTTTCACCACTTTACAAGTGCCTCAAGGAGTGGGGGACTGGAGGACCCCCTCGGGAAAACCATTAAATTACAAAATTAGTGAAATTCCAACAAACGACAAAGCAAGCCCTCAAGTCCCGACATGTGGGTAACTGAGGGACTGCCTTCGGCAGGGACATAAAAGCAACAACCCCTCACCAACTTCAGAGATCACGGCAGGACAACATCAAAGGGCAAGCATAGATTACTCCTTTTCCCTCAAATACCTTTCGGCAAAAGGAGTGAGGGACTCCTGATGGAGTATATGGCCCGGGACCCCCCGGCCCACAGACTCCTACTACTCCAGCAAAGGCCCAACAGGCCCAGAAGGCCCGACAGGCCCAAATCACAGCGCCCAAAGTACCAAGCGGCCCGCACTACGCGCCAGGGGTGCCTTCGCCCCCCTGGCCGAAGGCTCCAAACTCTCACAGAACGGGTTTCTCAAGCAAACTAAGAAACTGGGAGAAAATGGCGAAAACAGTAGCCCTCGGCACCAGGGGGGCCTCGGTTTGAGGAGCCCTCGGCTACTGCTCTATAGCCGAAAGCATCTCACTCGACAAGATATCCGCCTCACATGCGTACAGATCACCGTACCCTGTACAGACGTCCCATCCAACAGCCGCATTAAATGCGGCCACATGCGGCTGCCAGCGCCAACCAGTTGAGGTGACCCCTCGGCCAATAGGCGCTTGACACGTGTCCCTGTCCGACATTTATTGCTACTATAAATAGCACCCCATTTCCCCATTTGTAACCACGACATTCATACTAAATACACCCTCTTTCTATATTTTCTTGCTCTAACTTCTCTCTAAGTTATTCCCAGCAATAACCCCTCGGATATATACCCCCGGGTAGACTATCCATCATTACCGATACAGGTAATTGGGTCTCGTTTGACCGACGGGTCAACCCTATGCCCTTCCTATGGCCCAACTAAAATATCTACCACCATATACATATTATCTAGACCAAGATGAATATATTATGCCCGGTTCCACCTGATGCAAATCCTCCTGAGTTCTCCCTTTCCCTAATTCCATCATCACACCCCATCGCTAAAAGAAATATTTAGAATGAGTCATTAGACTCATTTCAAATGTCAACTGACAGATAGGCACTTAAGACATCTCTTGGGCCAAGTCACCACCATACCAATCGTTAAGGGCGCCATCTTAACAATTAAAGGCCTTGCAACTCAATCATCAAAAGATCTGAGTACAAACCATTTCCTATGCTCATGGTTTTCAAAAATCATTTTGAAAAAGAGAATTTGGAGACTTCATTATTAAGTTTATAGACTAAGGCTCTGATACCAATTAAATTCTCACGCCCTGGACCTACCCGGACACATCAACAACCCGCCGTACAATACAAATAGTCAACCGCAGTCTAACTCATCCATATTATACAAGGCATCTCGAATATCATTCACACATAAGTCATCCATAAACATACATAATAAGCAATTCAGTACACAGCGGAAAACATAGTTTGAAAACAAATGTCACACGTGGCAAACATGAGCACGCAGGCTCTATAGTAAAATATTCATGAGCATGTTTGTTAATGTTCAAAAAATAGAATGGAGGAATCACGAACCAAGTCTTCTCTCCCGGATAATCACTCGAGCAACATGCACAGGAAGCAAGCTCCAGCTTCAACCTGAAATGGTGGTGGGACGCCTCCCGAAAGGGGGTCAATACTCTATACGACTATAAAGTACTGGTGTGGATGACATATAATAGATTTACAACAAGTATTTCAAACACAAGACCCTCAAATAGGGTGATAATATAATCTAGGTCATAACCCCATGTTACCCCTTTTCAAAATATACTTACTTTATTTAAAGTCAAGTAGTCGACCCATAGACCCGAGTTTGTTTACAAAGAATCAACCTAATACCTCGTGACTTTCAGCCACGACAATTGCTAGGGTCTAACCCTAACACAGATGTTTGCATTTCTAGAGTCCGACTCAAGTACATCACCATGCAAATCATATGTCACAAGTCAATTACTCCACTGTGCATTTCTAGAGTCCAACTCAAGTACATCACCATGCACATCATAGGCTACAACCTTCAATCTCCCATGCATTTCTAGAGTCCAACTCAAGTACATCACCATGCATGTCATCAATCACAACCCCTTGTCTACACATGCACTTCTAGAGTCCAACTCAAGTACATCACCGTGCCATGGCATAAACTCAATTCCTAAACAAAACCTATGTCTAGAATTGAGATATCAATAATCAATTTTGGGACATCCTTAAGGACTGCCCATAACATGATTTTAGCTTCATACTAAATCAATATAGTCACTTGAATCACATTCAAGTGCATCACTTACAATCAAATTCTTAGATTCAATTCCTTAACAGTTACAAATAATCACTAACTAATATTTCAATACTATTAAGATTATTCCTATCAATCAAATATTCCACTTTGTTGGTCCCGGTTGTACTGTATACAGTCTAGAGGGGGGGTGAATAGACTGTATTGGCTTTTAACTTTTACAAGTTAAGTACCACACATAACAGAATAGCCTGTTCTGTTGACAGAACAGACCGACAGCGGATGGGGTTCTGGTAGGGATTCTGGTCGATTAGGCTCAGAGAAGCAAAGGCAATAGGTCTTCTGTTAACTCACAAGACACGTTCTCCTGAACACAGAGACCAATCTTTGGAATTAATCCGTTCAAACTAAGTGTGATAAATAGATTGAACAACCCTCTCAATTACGTTGAACACAAAGACCATGCTTGTTTAGAATGGGAAATCCCCGCTTGGAATTTCAAAAGAGAGGACCCATGGGTCCCTGAAATACGATCTCAATTATGTTTTCGGGTTTTCAGCTCTCGTATTTATCAAGCCCAATTTCGTCAACTCCTGCATCGGCAGCCGGCAACCGAGGACTGATCTAAAACAAAACAAAACAAAACAAAACAAAACAAGATAGTAAGATACTGCTGCTGCTCGGAAGTCGGAACAGCTTCCCCACCATCATTCGCGAAGTAATCGCCGCTAGCTATCGGGTCTTTCTTCTCTTAGCCTCTCGTCGCGTCCCTGGTCATGTTTGTTTCTCTGATTGTCGCTCCTTAGCTGGTCGCCGCTCACTTTCTCTTCGTTGATTGTAAGTGTTTTTAATCTTTGGTTTCAAATGTAATTCGATTCGTTATCACATGCTTAAGTTGAATGATGGATACTGTTTATTCATCATCCCTGCATCAACTTTGAGTCCATATGGTGAGTACTCTTTGAAAGGGGAAACTGATCACTCTATGTGGTAAATTAGGGTAGTTCTCTGTAGACTGTAGTAGATTATGTTATGAACAAGCAAGAGAAGAGATTTTGTTCATAATTGAAAGTAAGAATAGATTGAGCAAGAAGAAGAATAGCTTTGCATTGAACTGAAAACTGAACTCCCCTCGGTTCCTTACATCCGTTTATAACAGTCAAATGAGCTAATAACAACCAAAACAATTACAGCCATAGATGAGATGATGACGTGTCATCATCTCTTTATTTACATGTCATCAAAATTAGAGTACATGGCTAACACTTCAGCAATTGTAAACAAGAAGATTTAATCCTGACATTTCCCCCTTCTTCCACTGAAGCTTGTCCACAAGCTTCAATTCCAGGAAATTGCTTCACTATTTTATCATAATCCTCCTATGTAGCTTCATTTGGCTGTAAATGTTCCCATTTAATCAGTAATTGGACAGCAGCAACATTGTTCCTTTTGATTATTCTCCTGGCTAACAATCCAGCAGGAACTAATAATGAATCTCCTTCTTCATTCATAGCAGGAATGCTACTGGTAACTTTATCTGACAAGCCCACCCGTTTCTTTAACAATGATACATGAAAACCTGGGTGTATTTGACTTCCTGTTGGCAAATCCAGTCTATAGGCTACTGTCCCTATTCTTTCAACAATTGGAAATGGTCCACAATACTTGGGACTTAATTTCCAAACAGCAGATTTCCTCATGGCTCATGCTCATTTGCCTATAAGGTCTGAGTTTCAAATAAACCAAATCTCCAATTGCAAACTCCCTTACACTTCTACCTTTGTCAGCCAATTCTTTCATCCTGTTCCTGGAAATATTGAGCTGGTTCTTTAGCCTTTCAGAAATCATCTGTCTTTGTTGTAGTTCCTGTTCAACTCCTACTACAGACAATTCTCCATAAGGCCCCATATTAATCAGAGGTGGTTTATATCCGAAGAGAGCCTCAAAAGGACTCATCCCAATGGAGGTGTGATGGCAGGTATTATACCACCATTGGGCCAAAGAAAGCCATTTACTCCAAGCCTTAGGAATTTGTCCAGTCATGCACCTCAAGTAACTTTCCAGACACTGATTAACTCTTTCTGTATGTCCATCAGTTTGTGGATGGTAACTGGTAAGCTATGCTCAAATGATGTTGTACACCCAGAGATTTGAACAGCTCCTTCCAACCCACTATAGCATGCATCAGTCTCAATAATGAAGGTTTTACTAAAGTTAGGCAACTGTAAAATAGGTACAGTACACATTGCCATTTTGAGCTCTTCAAATGGTTTTTGAGCCTCATCACTCCATTTGAACATCCCTTTTCTAGTTAGATCAGTTAGTGTCTTAGCTTTGATCCCATATTTGGAGCAAAACTTTCTGAAATACACAGTCATCCCCTAGAATCCTCTTAATGCTCTAAGAGTAGAAGGAATAGGCCATTCCATAATACTCTTAATTTTTTCAGGATCTACAGCCACTCCTATGGAACTGATGATATGCCCCAAATATTCCACTTGTGGCACCCCAAAAATGCACTTGGATCTTTTGGCAAATAGAGTATACTGCTGCAGCACGCCAGCACCTCAAAAACTTGTCTCAGATGCTTCTTATGAGTCTCCAAATCTGGGCTATATATCAATATGTCATCAAAAAGACCAGCACAAATTGTTTCAAGTATTTGCTGAATATATTGTTCATAAGGTTCTGGAATGTAGCTGGGGCATTTGTTAGCCCAAAAGGCATCACAACGAACTCATACAACCCACTAGCAGTAATGAAGTCAGTTTTCTGAATATCTTCTTTTTTCATTCTTAATCGATGGTCGCCTGCTCTTAGGTCAATATTAGAGTAGACAGCTGCCCCATGTAGTTCATCTAATAAATCCTCGATCAAAGGAATGAGGTAGTTATTTTTAATGGTAATAGCGTTGAGTTTCTTGAAATAACACAAAACCTCCAGGACCCATCTTTCTTCTTAACCAATAGAACATGACTCGAATAGGGGCTATGGATTGGTTGTATCACTCCAGATTTCAGCATCTCCTTTATTAACTTTTCTATTTCTTGTCTCTGAATGTATGAATATCTATATGGGGCTTGTTTAAAGGAATTTTCTCCTGCCTTTAAATCAATTTGATGTTCACAGTTCCTTATAGGAGGCAACCCTTTTGGTTCTTGAAAAACATCTTGAAATTCATAGAGGAGATCTTCTAATTCTTTATTGCTGCAACTGTCAGATTCCTCCTTTTTAACTGTTGTTATCATACAGAAACATTGAGATACAGTCCCATTTTTGTTATGTAACAATTTCTTCTTCTTTGCCCCAGTTATCATCTTCACTGACACCTCTGGTTGTATCCCTGAGACAACTACTTTCTCCCCTTTATGATCAAATGTTATGGAGTGACTATCATAATCCAGCAAAATAGGTCCCATTGTCCCAATTTTCTCATCAAGTCTACTCCCAAAACCATGTCATATCCTCCTAATGGCAGCACTCTAACACTGGCTGCAAAACTATGTCCTGCCATTTCCCATTTTAGATTTGGGCATTTGGAGTTACACTCAATTATTCCTCCTCCTGCTACTGTCGCTTGTAAAGGATTAGTGATTTCAATGTCACAATTAATCCTTTTGCTGCCCCGGGGTCTATAAAGCTATGTGTGCTCCCAGAATCTACTAAAATAGTGAGGTTGTTATTTTTAACCTTCCCCATCAGTTTAATAATATTTGTGGGAACCTGTCCTCTTAATGCATGTAAAGAGACCCCAAAACTTACCTCTTCTTCTTCACTGTCTTCTTGCGATAGAGGTTCAGGCAATTATTGCCCTTCTTCTGCCATTAAGATCACAAAAATCTTCTTGCATTTGTGTCCTACTGTATACACTTCATCGGTTCATCCCAGTTAAAACACAACCCTTTTCTTCTTCTGGTATCTAACTCCTCTTTGCTCAATCTTTTAATTGGTAATGCCTTCTCTGTAGTTACTGCTCCTTTTATTTCACGCCCTACTTTAGGCCAGTTGTTTCTCATTGTTGCTTTTCCACTTTTCCCAACTGCCTCTAATAGAGATTCTTGTTTCTTGGCTATCATGAAAGCTTGATCAAGATTTTCAGGATCAACAATCTCCACCATATGTCTAATTTCTTCTTTTAGACCACTGAGAAAGCTTTGAAGGAAATAGTATTCATCAAGATACTTATTCCTCTGCAACATGAAAGATTTCAGTTCAGAAAATTTGTCAATATATTCATCTACTGCTCCTTTCTGTCTCAGTTTGTTAAATTCTCCAATTACATCATTTTCCTTGGAGAATCTGTCAAGAAACAAGATAACAAAGGCATCCCAACCCATAGATTCTCTACCAACTATCCTGTCCATATAGATTCTCTGATACCAATTTTCCACATTTCCTTCAACATACAACCCTACTAGCGTAATTTTTTCAAAATCAGACATGTTATGGATGAGGAAGTAGTGTTGACATTTACGAATCCACCCTCTGGCATTTTCACCATTAAAGAGAGGAAAGTCGATTTTAATTCCTTTATTATTCTCCAGTTCGTATACCGTGGGATCATCCCACGGTGAGCACCATGCTCCCACTCCCAAAACGACATAGTTTTGCACAATCTTTTTTAAAAAAAATCGTGTGAACAGTACACGCGTGTACATTAACTGTTTTTTCCTTCTTTTTGTCCAAGTAGCATGAATGATGTAACTCACATGTAAATATATGTAACTCACGTTATTGATCAATGTAACTCAAGTTCAGTCGAAATGTAACTTTGTCAAATACATAGTATAAGAAGTAAACTTTGATTTAAATGTAAATAATGATAAAAAAGAAGTCAAATTATTATACATAAGTAGTGTTATTGTTTTGCTTTTAATATCAGGGCTACAAAAATGATTTTTTTATATAAAAAAATTCTTTGATTATCAAAGGTTGATTGTGTTGTGTAACTCGCATTATATTGTAGTGTAACTCATATTATATAAAATGTAAATCACGTGCAAGTATGATGTAACTTGTTGATGAAAGTTGACATGTAACTCACATTAATAGACATGTAACTTTAGACAAATCCCAATGTAACTGAATGTATTTTCAAATGTAATTTGAGCCAAATCAAAATGTAAATTGTCTAAACTGAAATATGTGTGTGTGTGTGTATATGAAGATTCCTAATCAACCCTAATGTTCTCATGCTTGGCCAGCAAAAACATCCATGACTCATCACTGATGTGCAATATGAAGGAACGGAAGTGGGATTGTGATCGATTGTGTTTACAGGTTTAGATAGGTCGTACAAGCCAAAGCAGAATAGGATAGCTGCAATCAGAGAAAGTCAAAGCTGAATAGGATTTAATTTGTTTGGCCGGATTTTATTTCGTGCTCGCCGGCTACGTGCAGAGCTCTGTCTCTGTAGGGAAAGGGCAGACCTGTTCCTTTTTTTTTAACTAAACCCCACCGTTTTTGGGCTTGGAGCACGATGCTCACCGTGGGATGATCCCACGGTATAATTTGCGATTATTCTCTGGTGTTGAGATCAATCCAGCATCATGATGTTTATTTGCACGGTCAATATGAGGACTAGGATTAATACCTTTAACTGCAGCAATGATTTCTTCAAACCGTTTGTCTTGTGCCCTTGTAAGTCGTCGGAAGTCAGTCTTCTGAGCTTCACCTATCTTTTCCATTTCCATCCGTATATTGACCAACTCCTGTTCCAGCTGTGTAACACGCTCCGTATTACTTGCTTTCGCCATTAATGGTGTTTTCTAGCTCTGATACCAGTTGTTATGAACAAGCAAGAGAAGAGATTTTGTTCATAACAGAAAGTAAGAATAGATTGAGCAAGAAGACGAATAGCTTTGTATTGAACTGAAAACTGAACTCCCCTCCGTTCGTTGCATCCGTTTGTAACAGTCAAATGAGCTAATAACAACCAAAACAATTACTGCCATAGATGAGATGATGACGTGTCATCATCTCTTTATTTAAATGTCATCAAAATTGGAGTACATGTCTAACACTTCAGCAATTGTAAACAAGAAGATTTAATCTTGACAATTACTACTTCCTTCGTTGGTCGCAATTTAGATTAAGTGGCTTCGTCGAATTATTCATAGTTCAATGTTTAGTGATATACTGATATGGAGTAGTTAATTCAAGGTTGAATTAGGCAATGAGCCAAACATTTTAACAATCTCTTTAAAATGGAAGTATTATCTTAATGTATGAGCTGAACATCAGCCATTCCATAAAAGGAGTCATCTACACAACTTTTTAGTTACCACCGATCTCACTAATGCATTCAAATAAGCTAAAACATCGTGGTAAATGGTATCTGTATTTGGTAAGAAATATGGATGACTGGGCTGGTAAGCCAAAATATTGTGGTAGATAACATGCAATAAATAAAACAAAAATGATATTGTGAATTACTTTATTCAAGTATCGGTTACCTGTTGTGTTATGGTATGACAGATGGAATGAGATGGAGGAAGTTGAAGTGTATGAGCATATGGCTATAATTTCTTTTCCCTAATGTATTTAACAAACGTAAAAGGTAACTCTGCATTTGTGAGGGGAAAAGGCACCGTTTGGATAGCAGCGGTTTACCCAAACCGCTATTTTTTTAATAAACAGAAACACTGCATTTTGCAGTGGGTGGGTATCAACCCGCCGAAAAATAAACGAGGGCAAAGTCCTCTAAATAAAAACTTTTCTTTTAATAAGGATTACTCGTACCCTCATAATTGAGTGGGGGGATTTGTGTACCCTAGCTACTACTGATTTTACATCTCCGCCCAAATTTTTTAGAAGCGGCAGAGTGAAAACTCTCCCGCTAAAGTGAAAATTTAAGTTCCCTTTGAGTGCTGATGGAGACATCAAAAGTCCGCTGACCCTTCACCGCCATTAGATATATCAAAGTCGACAATGATTTTGGTGTAACCGGATCCCTTCGAGCGGCGTTAGAGATATCAAAGTCTAACAACTCTCCGGGACTGATCTTATCCCTTCAAGCGCCATTACAGATATCAATGTCTGACAGGTCTAATCTCTTCTAGAGGTCTGTGTTTATTTTGCCTCTAACCGTTCGTAGCTTTCTTCCACCTTCCGGTCACACCTTGTCTACAAAGCTCTCCAGCCAGTTTAAGCCTCCCCACACCACGATTACGAAACTCTCTCTGGCTTTGCTCGGTTCTGATGGTTGAATAACCAGGTCTCGTAGTCCAACATTTTTTAAAATCTATTCTTACATCTGTTTCTGAAGAATTTTACAAGAGAAGCTTGATTTAGGTTATATATGCCCCATGCAGTTTGATTTACATGTATTTTCTTCATACAATGCCAGTGCAGTTTGATTCGGGTGATATTAGGTCTGCTATATTTAAACAATCTTTTTTCATTTTCAGAATTTTTTAAGGCTATAACTTTTATTTTAATTTATTCCAGAGGATGTGATGCTTTAAAATCGAATATAACCTTTTTTTGACTCTTAATTTTACCAATATTGATCTAAATCCTCCCCCCTTAGGACTTTGTGATAGTTGGACATTACAACCCTTTTGTAGCTCTAGGTTTTCTTATGCATCTCTATTAGGTTGTGAAACTGATTTTTTACCAATATGTCTAAATGTTTTAATTTTTTTCCATCATTTGCAATGGAGTCAAAGATTCATTATTTTTTGGCTTGAGATTATGATGGAATAAAGCAAAATGGCTCACTAAACTGTCTGCGCTTTTTTGTTATGATGCAGCATTCAGTCCATGCAATTTTGGACGGGATTTTCACTATGGGTCATCTGGAAACAGTCTCTCTGTGCTTTAGTACAGGGGTAAGACTGCGTACATCCGACCCTCCCTCACCCCACCGTAGGTGGGAGCCTTTGCGGCACTGGGGTAAATGAAAATGAAATGAAAAGGTAACTCTTGGCCCTTGAACTGTACAAGTAATTGTTTTTTTCTAATTTTGTACTTTTAAAATATTAATCTCACTTTTGTTGCATTCTAGTCCTCAATATTTTGGGTTTGATGTTTTACTCTATCGTTTTATGATTGTCTTCGTCAACTGTTTCATAAACTTGTCTGGGGAAGCCGCATGCTCAGCTAGAATGTTAGAGCAAAGAATCTGAAACAGAAAATTGAGGAACAGAAAACTATATGTCTATATCTTGACACAAAGGGGGCTATATTTTAAAAGTAGATAATCAATCATGTAAACGAATAGTTTTGCAAACATTAGGGGATTTTAAATGCATTTTTCACTCTGAAGAAAGAAATATGAATGTGTGACATTGTGGTGTGTAATTTCTTTTCCCAATTTGAGGTTTAACTAATGGTTATGTACTTATGTTCCATGATTTACATGTCAATTTTGCCATAACGTTATGAAATGTGTATGGGGATAGAAAAATGCCCCATGTAATTCTCCATTCATGTGGAAATAATCTATGATGGTGACGGTTCAAATTTTCATCTCATTGGTTCTCCTTAAGAAGGTTTCATTTGTAAGAGTATCCAGTAGTGCTCAGTAAAGAATATTTTTCAGTGAAAATTTATTGGGTTCTTAGGGTCACGAGAGAAATAAATCTGACTATTTGAAGTTGAGGACTTTACTACCAAGAAGTTTCCATATTGTTCTTAGTGGTGGTCAATTATTGTTTCATTCCACTCGCATAGTCTCATATAAACTTGTAGTTGTTAATTTCTTTGCCCTATTGCTTGCAAATTCATATACAACAAACAACAACATCCAAGCCTCATTCCCAAAAGATATTGGAGTCAGCTAACATGAATCGATCCATGACATCAAAGCAAAAAGAAAAGAAAGATAAGAAAAAAGATAAGGTAAGATAAATGGATAAGATAAAAGTAAATATATGATAAAAGATAAAAAGATAAAAATAACACAGGAACATAGAAAGATAAAGAAGATAAAAGATAAAAGAAAAAGAGAGAGAAAAGAGAGAAAAAAGATCAATTTGTTCAATGAATATGCACCCTCCACTTTGCTCTCTTCAAAGTCATATTCTCTTCCAACCCAATAAGAAGCATATCAATTCTGATTCCTCTAATCCAAGTCTGTTTGAGTCTTCCCCTCCATTTCCTCCCCACCTCTCAACTCGTCTAACAAGTACATCATTCGGTCTTCCACGCACATGTCCAAACAACCGCAATCCATACTCCTGCAATTTATCTTTTATAGATGCTACTCCCACCTTTTGTTTGATTATCTTATTCCTCAAGTGGTCTTTTCTGGTATGTCCACACATCCACCGCAACATACACATCTTTGCCACGCTCATCTTTTGAATGTGACATGTTTTTACCGCCTAAGACTCTATGTCATACATTAGTGCGGGCCTAATTGTTGTCCGATAAAACTTACCCTTCGGTCTAATCAGCATACCTCGTTCACATAGAAATCCTGATGCACTCTTCCATTTCATCCATTCTGTTTTGATTATGTTAAGACCCGAGGTTCCATCCTAAAAGGTCAACCTGATAGAATAGTAGCTCAAAGCCTTATATATTATTTTATTATTTTATAGCTTTCCGGTGTGGGACAAATACTTCAACAGATTATGTAGGATTTTTTTTATTTTTTTATTTTATTGCTTAAGATATTAAACGATAACTTTTGGTTGAAAACATTTAGTTAAGCTTCTGATAATGTACCCCCTCTGTCCTGAATGGTAAGATACATTTTGGTTCAGCACAGGCTATAAGAAGCTAAAGCACATAGTTTTTTTACAAAACATCCAACTGTAACACCCAGGGGGGTATTGGTCAACAAAAACAAAAGGTGAAATGATAGACAATGGCCAAATTAAGAAAGTAAAAAGTTAATGGAGTTCAAGTTATGAAAGTGTTCATATTTAAGGGACATGCCAGAAAGGGAAGGATAGTTTACAAAATGGGATAAAAGGCATTTATTTTACTTATTTATGGATCTGTGTTGTAGCCTAGTAAATGCTAATGAAAATCAAGTTCAGTAGGTAATAGGGGATATAAATGCGAGGGATCAGCCTTCTTGGACATATAGGAATAAGTTTGCAATGTAGTCCTAAAATGAACTTTATCTCCATTAGCATTTACTGGGCTACAACACAGATTCATAAATAAGTTAAAAAAAACTCCCTTTTAACAACATGCTATGCTGTATTAGATAATATTCTATTAATTTTCTAACTTTTTCGCTCTAATCATTGGAGACGAATATTTGTCTCGTAGATCCTGGAGAGGTTGAAAAATGATCATGACAACAATGATTAAAATTGTTGTCCAAAATCTACTTAATTCCGAGTTACAATGTTCCCAGATTGGAATCCATGAGATTTTCTCTCAAACTTAGAGTTAATATCAAGAAGAATTAACAGTGTCTATCATACTTCATACATATCTGTAATTTAACTTCTCTTTGGTGTTTATTCATTTTAGTCTCTTAAAACTTTCAATATTCATTTCCACTTCTGAGGATTTCTTCCCTGTTAAGAAACAGGTATAATGGAGATTTCACTATTAAAAGTGCTTCTCAACAAAATCACAAGCTTCTTTGTTATATCATCTCGGGAGAACATAAACTTTTCACTGGCACAGAAGTATTATGGGACAGCAGAAGGCATACTGAAGCTGTTGATGCCAATTCTCAACAGCACTGTCGATTCTGAAGTAGCCTCTGAGGAACTGTTACAGAAGGCCTTTGCTGGACTGTCCGATTCAATTGATCAACTAAGGAAACTATATGAAATCTGGGAGCCATTCAGTAGTAAAATATATTTTGTATGTCATCAGATATGCTTTATAATTTATATGCATTGATCAGTTGTTTTGATGCTATATATACATATATAACCTATGTTTACCTAGTTGCTATTATCTTCAAGAAACCAAACTCCACCTTACATATATTGTCAGACTGGGTTTACTACCACCATGCCAGTGCAGCAGTGCTCATGATAAATAGAAAAAATTGAACTGAAAGTGTGGTTTCATTTCTTTCCATGGTTTGAGGGTGGTAATTAACCCCCGTTTTCAGTTTCTCCATCCTCTCATAATGAGTGTACTTTGGATATTGCATAATGGCAATGGTTTAAGCAGTGTTGTCAAAAGCGCTCGCTTCTGCGCTTAAGCGCACAAAGCGCAGCGAGGTAGACCCCTAGCGCCTGAGTAAGGTAGAAGCGCACAACCCTGGGCAAGGCGCAGCATAAGCGCTAGAAGCGCATGAAGCGCGGAAGCGCTATAGGCGCGTGCCTGCGTCGCCTGAAACGGAAAAGGCTGACAGCCCTTTTTAGTTTAAAACTTTGAAAAAGAAAGCCCATATCTTAATAGTCCTCAGCCCATGAAAACAATAGGGTAAAGTAAGTTTAACCTACGTAAAACTAAGCCTGTAAGTACTTAAAAACGTAAACTTGCGCAAGACACTACAAAGCTTAACCGCTAGCCATCCTCTTCACTCTCCTCGCTTTCCTCACTCCGTCACTCTATACTCAAGCTGCTCTACACGACTACACCAGCCGGTTCTTTCAGCTTCCTTCATCATCTCAAGCATACACAGCTCTCCATCGTAGCAGTAAACAAGGTATATCTTCTTTTTCATGCAGTCTCATGCCTTTTCAATTACCTTCATTTACTGTCTTCTTTATCCATAGACTCATAGTACTCTGCTTTGTGATTTTATTAGTATATTAGTATGTATATAATACTCATAGTATTCTGCTTTTTTATTTTTTAGTATATTACTATGTATATAATACTCATACTGTCATAGTACTCTGCTTTGTAATATACATATATAGTACTCTACATTGTATATAATACTAATATACATACTAAAGTTATATGTTCTTATATGTTCTTAACTTTATATATCAAACTGATTCCATAAAGTTTATGTATCAGTTAACCAACTGATTATATATGTACTAAAGATATATATCTTAACTTTATATGTACTAAAGATATATGTACATATTAAAGTTATATGTGCTAATGTACTAAAGAGTAAAGATGTATGTTCTTAACTTTATATATCAAACTGATTCCATATAGTAACTTTATGTATCAATTAACAAACTGATTCCATTATATATGTACTAAAGATATATGTACTGATTCCAGCTTTGATCTTTTCTAGGATATGGAAGGTGGAACAAGTTCTGTGGGTGGTGCTGAAAGTGAAAACTCTACAAAAAATGACCCAGCTTGGAAACACAACTACTTAGTTAACAAAAAAGATCCTAAATCAGTTACCTGCATTTACTGTGGAGCTTCTCATTGAGCTAGTGACACTTGATAAGCTGAAGGAGAATGTAGAACAAGCAGAAAGGAGTGATGAAATTGAGTACATTGAACAGATAATTGCTCTTGTTAGTCATATGCATGAATCCCTCGTAGTGATGAAACATTCTGAGAGCTGTACTACCTCTGTGACAATACCCCCGGATTTCTGCTGTCCTCTCTCACTTGAGCTCTTGAGGGACCCAGTAATCGTTTCATCTGGACAGACATATGAGCGAGCCTTCATTCGAAATTGGATTAACCTTGGCCTCACCGTCTGCCCGAAGACACGACAAACCCTTGCTCATACAAACCTAGTACCGAACTACACTGTCAAGGCATTTATTGCAAAGTGGTGCGAATCAAATCAAATAAAGCTTGCTGATCCAGTAAAACCCATTAGCTTGGAATGTAGTGCACCCAGGAACAATCATATATTTCCCCATTCAAGGGCTAATAATTCCACTTCACCTGATTCATCTCGCTCTTTTGGTTCCCCATCTCCAAGGAAAGATCCATTCTCCTCCACTGCAATCCAAATAGAGACAACATCTCGCCCCAATCCCCATTCATCTTCAGAGGAGGAATCCTTGGCAGGAAGTGGAGGTAATCGGTTGGATGTTGAACAAATGTCTCTTGAGAGTTCAGAAGATGGAAATCCCGAAAACTCGGGAAAACGGAGTATTGACTCGATCAGCCACTTTTCCATGCCACTATCTACGAGTCATGTGTCATCAGCTAATGATGAAGATTTACACCATGGTCATAACCGGACCTCCTCTGCACCAACCATGCTGTCCTCTGATTCAAAACTCACCCATGTAAACGCTGAGGATGATGGAAATGCAATGTCATCATCTGCTGCTGGTGTTTCTGTCTCTTCTGTGGAGGCTGTTGCTTCAGATTCCACACCCCCTTCTTATGCAGTGGCTGCTGGCACAAGGCCCTCACCATCAATGTGGCGTAGGTCATCTGAAGCATTTGTTCCGAGAATAGTTTCTTCACCTTCTGTTGGAACAAGGGCTGATATTGCGCTAGTGGAAGAGCATGTTAGAAAGTTGGTTGAGAACTTGAAGGACACTTCCATTGATTTGCAGAGAGAAGCCTCGGCTGAAATCCGATTACTGGCCAAACATAATATGGATAATCGTATCGTGATTGCGAATTGCGGTGCTATTAATCTATTGGTCGACTTACTGCGTTCCATGGACCAACAAGTGCAGGAAAATGCTGTCACTGCACTCCTTAACCTTTCGATTAATGCTAACAACAAGTCTGCAATTGCTAATGCCAATGCAATAGAACCTCTGATTCATGTGCTTGAGACGGGGAGTGCAGAGGCTAAAGAAAACTCTGCCGCCACTCTTTTCAGCCTTTCTGTTATGGAGGACAACAAGATAAAGATTGGGAACTCTGGAGCGATACAACCTCTTGTTGATTTATTGGGGAACGGAACTCCAAGGGGAAAGAAAGATGCGGCCTCAGCTGTGTTTAACTTTTCAATGCATCCTGAGAACAAGACCCGGATTGTGCAGGCGGGTGCGGTGAGATACCTCGTGGACTTGATGGACCCAGCTGCTGGCATGGTTGATAAAGCCGTTGCTGTTCTGTCAAACCTGTCTACCATTCAGGAGGGAAGGGTGGCTATTGGTCAGGAAGAAGGGATCCCCGTTCTGGTTGAGGTTGTTGAATTGGGATCTGCAAGGGGTAAGGAAAATGCAGCTACTGCTCTGCTGCAGTTATGCACAAACAGCGGTAAGCACTGTAATATGGTTCTCCAAGAAGGCGCTGTACCTCCGTTAGTGGCTTTGTCACAATCTGGCACCCCCAGAGCAAGAGAAAAGGTACATTTGCTGCCGATGTGTTCTGACTGGTCTAGTTACTGCTCTGGAATTTAAACCTTTCTGATATCTTTTGATATGATCTTTGGTGTGATCTGACTGGTCTAGTTACTTAAAATAAGAACAAGTCCCTGCCGATGTGTAGAAAGAAAAATATAAGTTTGAAAAAACAAGGTGAAGGGAATAACATGTAAGAAGATGCCATTATGTTGGAACGTTCAAATCTTTTTTTAGGATTATTGAGTTATTAAAAATATACTACCTCCGTCCCCCTATTATTGTCTCTGCGGTTTACGATGCTTAACGGACGATAAAACAAACTGATCCCTGTCTGCATTCAAATTATTTTTAGAAAAAAAATACATATTTAGAAACTACATTAAAAGCTTTACAAAGTCGCAAAAACCAGAATTAAATTTGATAAAAAATTTATATATAAAGTAAGGGATTAAGAGTGATTTGTGTTGACCAAGTGAATAGGAACTGAGACAATAATAGGGGGACGGAGGAAGTAATATTTTTTGGTTGCTTGCAGGCTCAAGCACTTCTTAGCTACTTCAGGAATCAACGTAATGCTGGCAGGAACTGATTTTGTAAAATTGTGCTTTGGACAGCATACGATGTTTCAGGTGAGAGGTTATTGTCTTTGTTGTGTGTAAATCTGGTGATAGAAATAGTTGGTTTGTATTCTATTTCATGTACTTTTTTATACGTGGAAGTGAGATGGTTTTTGTCATGAACACGCACACCTACGCCTGAACATGTAAGATTTCTCCTTCACTGCAATATTTATACCAGTATTATTTTCACAGTAAGTGCTACTTTCCAGATGAAACAATGTACGTGCTGCAGTTTTTGTCTTTGTTGCATTCGTTACCAAATAGGCCCTAAGCTTTTCAAACACAATAAGCTGAAGCTTGTCATACTCGGCCAACACACCAACACCGCCGCACCTACAATGGCTCCCAGAATGATAGCACCGGCACCCGGCCTTGAAGAGAGATTTGGCTCCCTCGTTCTTTAGGATCTGAGAGAATGCGTCAAGAGAGTTCTTATACTGCCCCTCCAGATGTCATCATCATTCTTCTACGAACTGTGTAATGGTTAAGATGCAAGCCCAGAGCTAGCAAATAAACTATCATGCAAACAAAAAAGTTGGAAAGAAAACGTAAGATTATAAATAGTTGAAATGCTCAGACAAGAAAATCAATCATTTTGAGATATTGTTATCATGTTTATTTAAAGGCTTAGACTTAGATATCTTAGTTATTAGATCCTGGATATAGAACACCTTTTGATTTAAATCCTAGCATTTCTTTTTGTTTTTCAACCCTGGAAATATGTCATTTTCTGTTTACTCCATCCACGGGTTATGTGTAACCCTTGGACGACCTCAAGTTTGTAAAAAGCTAAGGCATCATTTCATCTTTTTAGACATTTTAGTATAGGCTGTTCATAAAAATTCTGCTATTTTAAAAAATGAAATGACATGAAAAAAGTACATAAATCATGAAGTTTTTTCCGAATTAATGCGAATTAAAGAAGTATTTACCGAATTTAATAGATAAGTAAATATGACCTCAAGCTGGGTTAAAATTGTTGGGAAAATGTGTTAAAATTGTTGCATTAAATGGTTATTTTGGGGCAATTATTTGAGTGGGGTCCACTTCCGATTTGGGTCGGGTCAAAGTGGTTTCGGATTGTCCTTGCTAAGGGCTACAATTCGATATATGGTACACTCAAAACGGATAACGGGTGAATGAGAAATCACTTTTCGAAGTTTACCCGTTGGAATGGAGAAAACTAGGAAAAAGTGGGTTTTAGTGTGGGTTTTTCCCACACCGAAAAATCACAAGGGAATTTGAACCCTTTATAAAGGGACCCCCCTAAGGAGTTAAGCTTCCTAAAGGGAAAGGCTCTCTCACGCGCGGGGGGGGGGGGGGGGGGGGGGGGGAATCAAATCCCGAAACCGAAGAACAAAAAGCGTGACTTGAGTGTGCGGGCGACCTGCACACACGAATGCCGTCCGAAAATCTATCTTCTAAAGATAATGTTAATTTTGTTCTTCCGGTACGTTCCTATTTTATTTTTGCTCCATGGTGAACTGGAACGTTGCAACATAAATGCCCAACGTCATTGTACCTTAATGCAACGGGTTTGGACACCTTGCTTGGAGAATCAATGCCAGCATGCTGCCATTGAAGTCCCAACGTTCATATGAACGTTTTGGGCTGTTTATTGGCTGGAATCAATGCCCAACGTTTAGGGCATTGATGTCCAACGTTCACAAGCCTTAAAAAGCCATTAACACACCATAATCCACCCCTATAAAAGGTTAGCAGGTGCTTTGCAAATGAGGCACGTTCATACACTTCGTACACATATTTTCACAGCTAAAACCACCTCTACCATTTGTGTTATGACTTTTGTTCACGTTCGTTGGAACTTTAGTTTGAGTGCTAAACTATTGTTCGAAGTCATCGTATCCTGGGAAATGATCGTTGCAATGCTCCTAGCACTCTGGGAGGCAACGAATGCGTTTTAAGGAAATCGTGCGTAGCATGAGCTTTGGCTTATTCTGCTTCATCTCATTTCTAGTTGTTTTTCTTTAAGTCATTTTATTTAATTAATTTTTATTAATTAATTTTCTTTGTTTTTCGAAACACACCCAACAAAAACTTATTACAGATCTACTGTTGTTGGCCTTAACCTGGGTTGGGGAAAGTCATCAAATGGTTTGGCAACTTATAAGTCACCAACCGGAATGGCGACTTATAAGTCGCCAAACCGTTTGGCGACGTTCCCCCTACACTTGCACAAACAGGAAACATAAAAAAACAAATCAAAACATAATATATATAATTTGACAAAACCTGGTCACAAACACTGATCAAAACATAAGACTAATAACATCAACACATCAACCCAACACATCACCCAAGCATCACTTTTGGTTTCCCATCCTCTGCATAACCCAACACATAAACACATCATAAACAAATGATTAAGTAACTAATATCCAATACTTTGCAGGTGGGCATACATCATAAAGTAAAGTGTTTCACATATTCAAAAAAATCTACAACATTTGGGGTACATGAATAAGTCCAATAATGGAGACAGATTACAAGTTTTCATGGTCTTCTTGATCGTCCTGGTCATGGAGTTATGGCTAATGACGCATACGCCTATGCTGCTGACGTGATTGAAGAACAACTCTGTCATGCTGACCCTGGGATGTAAAAGCTGCTGTTGCGGTAGATGTCGATGCCATAAAATCTTGAGATAAGGTCATATGTATAAGATACCCATAGTCCACTCGCCCCAACACATCCAAACACAAGGAAGCAATCCCTATCAAAACCTGACCGTACGTGTCCACATCATGCGTGTCACTCACTGTGTTAGTCGCTCGCTCATGTATATGCTGCAAAGCTCGTGTCTGAAATGTGCAACATGAATTATAATTAGTTTCAAATAAAAAATGTTAAATAAAGAACATGAATTACTTTAGTAATTAGTAGCATACTCACCGTCAAGTGCAAAACCATGGAACTAGGTTGATAATGATTAGTAGGGAGCCTGAAAGGAGAGACAAACAATCGTGTAATGTTGTAATATCATCTCATGTAGTCTACAGAAACATATGAAAGTAATGTCGGCGTCCCTCCCATATAGCGTCGTATCGCACATATTTGAGAGACCGGTCATCTGTATGCTTCCCACGCCTATCCAGCTTATGAAGATCCACACATGTGTCCACAACTGCTAGAATGACCTGCTCATAGTCAAAATGACGCAGTACACGATTAGGCAAATGAAGCTCCACAATATTAAAACATATCAACGAGACACGTGCTTGCCATATATCATAATGTTTTTGTCCTGCCGAGGGCAGCTCCTCTAACATCTGAGTTGTGTATGGCATCCATGTAACTTGTTTCAAAAGGATAAAAAATTAGTCTTGTTGCTATTCATATGATAGTTTATGTACATCAAACCTGATCATCAGACATGCGATCAAATGCATCCCTATAGAAACTGAGTCCAGAAGCCGATGATGTGCGACAAAGATCAGCAAATAGCCATCTAACCATTCATGTAGTATATATTAATATTAATATAATTATTCAGAACATACAATAACATAAATATAATCTTCTAAAACATACCGACGCCTCAGAGGGTCCTCGCCATGTCAATGATGTGGTCCAAGGAGACGTAGAGGCTGGTCATGAAGTGGGTGTCCATCTAGTCCATGGTATCGTACTATAATGGCGTGCCCAATGTGAATGTACTCCCACGACCAAATCTATAACAAAAGCAAAAAAACTTCGTGCTCTCACTTTGACAATCTCGACACAGCTGCCTATATAGATACACTAGAGTGGCACTACCCCAACTGAAGTATGCAACGACATCAAATCTCTCTAGCATCGGCAAATGCAGGACCTGAACCTCATTTCCACTCTTGTCAGTAAAAATGGAGGCTCCCATCATCATCAAAATGTATGACCGTGCATGATGTTGGATCATCACATCATTTGCCTCCAGAGGAAGAACAAAGAATACTCCCTCAGCCATGACATCTTCAGAGATGACCCATGAATGTCTGTTCGAAGAAGGGGGCGAACACCCAACAATCGCTCCACATCCTCAACCCATGGTCGATGTGTTGTACCTGTAACCGCTCTCGCATGGACCTGTAAACCAGTCAATACAACCACATCCCCCAAGGTCAATGTCACCTCACCAACTGGAAGGTGAAATGTGTGTGTCTCCTGCCTCCAACGCTCAAGAAGAGCAGTGAGTAGAGCTCTATCAAGTGGGATAGTAGCCCCACCAATCTGTGAACACCAAAAAATCTCGTTGCTTTAACATACGCTAACACTCTATTGTCCACCTGCACGTGAGACAAACTACGAAGGTGCTCTCGACACCTGTCAACCTGCACATCGAGTCCACGCCACACGTCCTTAGTCCTATGCGTGGCCTGCTATGTCAGGACAGAACGATCAATCGGCCCTGGATCTACTGACAACTCCATAGTGCCTATAATAAATGAAAACGTGTGTTAGTCATTAATTAATTAATAATTTTTAATCAATTACTTTTTGTATTTCACATTAGAAGGAGTTGTGGATTTTAAGAATTAAAACCTTACCCAGTGGACCCCCCACCATCTCATGAAGATCTCTTCGCACATGTGGCACTATTATGGCCGGTTTGTTTACATGTTCCACATCTAACGATTCCTCTTCCACCTTCATTCATCTCATTCTTAATTCGTGTGGACTTTAGTCGTCCCTTTGCACGAAGCATGGATGGATCATGCACAAGTCGTGATCCAGTGTAAGTTGGCCAATAAGCACGATCGGGAATGGGTTTAAGAACTCTTTGATATGAAGTGGCGTTATGGGAAGATGAGAAAGAAGGATCCACAAATGTATGATAAGACAAACTACGTTGATTACACACAGCTAACACGTGTGAGCATGTAATCTTATATATTTCACCTTCTTACAAGTACAAGTAAGAAGGTGACAGTGTGGTGTAGCCCTCGGCCTATATCAAATGCAGTGACAGTGTGGTGTTTCGCCTTATCTTTATTCTTCTCAATGATATCTGTTATGTCTGTCGAGTACTCGTGGCCTTCTGTCACTCTTTTTTTACTACTTTCACGTCTATCCACAAAATATGCATTGACGCGGTAAAAAGAAACCAGAATCAAAGCTGCGATTGACAAGTATCAGGCACTTTTCATCACACTGTTGAAAATCTCAGTCATATTAGAAGTAGTGGTACCGTATATGTACCCCCCATCATGATGTAATGACCACATTTCCAAGGGATTGTTCCCTAGAAATTGACGTGCCTCCACCTGCATTTCGCCTATCTTGTTGAACCCACCATCAAACTTTTTTTCTGATGCTGTCGTGCGGTCCAAACAAACAGATTTTTGATGTGAATGTCTTTAAAATGGGTGTGCACATTCGATGCAAGATGGCACATACATAACATATGGTGCGCAAAGGGCTCCTCCCAACCACTCCCCACCTCCTTCTTTGCCTTTATAATACCTGGATGTCGATCATAATTGACACATAATTCCCTTATAGTTACAAACGTCCTAATGCATGCCATAAACCATGGTCAACTGTCCCCATTCTCTAATTCACATACTGCAAAGGCCATAGGAAAGAGTTGGTTGTTTGCATTGCTACCCATAGCCACGAGTAATGTACCCTTATACTTTCCATACAGGTGTGTGTCATCAATAGTCAATATTGGTCGACAATGCATAAAACCATGAATAGAAGGCTTGAATGCCCAAAAGACTCTATGAAAATGGAAACACCCAGTAGGACCTGTAAGAGGTGGGTACCAGTGCACAATAGTTCTCGGATTGGAATCTTGGAGGACTGCCATGAAATGGGCTAATTCAGAATATGACTTCTCCCAACCTCCAAAAACTTCAGCAATGGCCTTTTGTTTGCTCAACCATGTTCGTCTATACGAAACCCTATAACCATAATTTTCCTTCATCAACTCAATTATAGTATGAACTTTAAGGGATGGATCAGTGCGAAGAAGATCAATTACATCTCTGGCAATAAAATCTTAAGTAATCGCCACATGATCATCACTGTCATTGTTGCCAACACAAGTAGGATAATGCACATTTCTCTTGCACTCTGCAACCCATTTTTGTTTATCTGACTCAAGCACGCGAAAAATTGGTTGTGTTTGATAGAAGACAAGCTCATCATATTGATGAGTTATTCTTTGTTGTCAAACCGTTGAGCAACCGCAAACTCATCATCTGGTGTAAAGCTGTTCACACCAGTTCCACTCCTCCACGCATCGTCAAAACCGGATGGGAGATTATATAATCTGGTGAAGTGGCTAGACGGGGCAGTTGCACTTACACTATCACCACAATCTTCATCTGATTCTGCCATTTCATCATCATTGATGTTTTCATTAGCATCATCATCAGTTCCATGGTCATCCAAAAAGGATGCACCATTGTGCAAATACCTCACATCCTCCTCTACAACCATATTCAGAACAGGCTCATTTGGGGAGGCCGCTGCAGTAACACCATGCCCGGATACATCAACATTTGATGTTGACGAAGTTATAAAAGAATCACCTATGGATTCTGCAAGGTATATCTCCATTGTGAACATAGTCATCATCTCAACTATCATCCACATTCCAGCGACAACTTTCTCGTCATCAAGTGGCATAAGCATGTAGGATCCCATGTGAAGGGGGTATTTCACTTGCACTTGCAAAGAATGGCTCGAAGGAATCTGTGTAGTTGCATAGATTTTTTACAGCATCTCTAGCATACATGCACCACGAGAAACAACTACAATCCGTCTTCTACCACCACCATAGTGTATTCCCCTTGCTTCCTCAAATAATTTCCCTCCCCAATGACACACTATTGGGAAGTTGAAGAAATCCATATTCTAATAACAATACATGACGATAATTGATGAGTACAGATTAATCTACACACTTTTTACACTCAAATTCATCATTTCATAGACATAACAGCATATTAAAAACTCTCATATTTAAACAAATCCTATATCATATAATTACACTTAACAAAAGAAAAATATTACATTTTCAAAGAAAAAAACAAATTCTTACATTAAAATTCACATTACACAACAAATCCACAACAAAATCAAAATATTACATTAAATTCAACATTAAAATTCAACATTTCATACATATCCACATTACGCAACAAATCAATTCACAAATCCATTCCTAATTTACAAATTCGAAATTTATAGATTCTAAACCCTAACATGAAAAATGAGATGAAATGGAGAATTCATTTACCTAGAGGAAAGAGGGTTAAAGAAGATGAAGGTGAAGGGGGTCTCGCCGACGATGCACTCGCCGGAGATGGGGAGCTCGAACAGTCGCCCTTTGCTGCGGAGGTTTTTTGGGGGGTGGGATGTTGCGTTCTGTCTGGAATTGTCGGACCCATCTCTCTGTTTAAAGGGAAAGCCGCCAAACCGTTTGGCGGTTTATAAGTCCCCAAACTGGATGATGACTTATAAGTCGCCAAACGGTTTGGTGACTTTCCCCAACCCAGGTTAAGGCCAGCAGTAGATTGGTAATAAGTTTTATTCGAGCATTATTTCGGGAAATACTTATTTAATTCGGAAAAACCCTAAATCATGTTAATATATACTTATATATTAAAGTATTAAATATAAGTGTATTACTCATCTTATAGTAATATACTTATATATTATATACTATAAACATTATATTATATATTAGTTATACAATTATTATATCTACTTATATACTTATTATCTACTTATAAATGCATATATTAAGTGAATGCGTGTATTAAAGTATTAAATATAAGTGTACTACTCATCTTATGGTAGTATACTTATATATTATATACTATAAACAAATTAACATATTTGTTTGGATTTAATATTTCTTACATTTTTAAGATGAAACGTGGTAGTCATTTTGTAGATATGGGTAACCTCCACCGCAACCAAAAGAAGGAGATTGTGAGGACTCATCCTAGTTCACGCAAAGGTAAAGGACGAGCCAGGTCTCCTTCCCAAAGACGAGATGATTTTGAAACGGATTACCAACGAAGAGATGCGGATGCGATGTCCGACGAGCAACTAACCCAACTATTGGCCCAACAAGATGGCGCTTTTACCAATAACGTGACATCACCGACATTGACGAAGAGCTCGAGGATGAGGATGCGGAGGAGGAGGATCCGGCGACGGCTGAGGCTGAGGGTCACGGCACCCTGAACAATGAGGAAGAGGTCGAGGACGAGGCTGGTTCATCCAAACCGGTAAGAAAGGTAAATTTTTAGTTATGAAAAATAATTTTGTTAAGTGGAATGACCCACAAACCGAGAAATGGTACGCAACTTGCAACCATTGCAAGAAAGATTTTAGCTTGTCACCCTGTGGAGTATGAGAAAATAGACAAAGGCAAGGGGAAGCAAACTCAAATATCGAAGTTTGCAACTGGCCAACCCTTTGGTAATTTCTCCTATGATGATAAAAAAAATTGACTGGTATGTCTCACTTAATTGTAGAAGAAAATTTGTCTTTTATTTTTTCTGAAAGTCTTGCTTTTAGAGAATATGCTCAAGGTACTTTAAATCCTCAATTTCGAAATTATAGTCGCAAAACGATTAAAAAAGAAGTTATAAGGCAATATGATTTGGAAAAGGAAAAATTACAAATGTTTTTCGTAAACTTTATGGGCGTAGTATTTGTACTGATATATGGGAGGATACTCATCATCATTTATATTATTTGGGTGTGACTGCACATTATATTGATGATAATTGGAAAATGCATAAACGTGTTCTTGTTTTTCTTGAATTTAATGATCGACACACCGCTGATAATATTTATATTCTCATTAAGCGTATTTTAATTGAGTATAATTTGATTGATAAGGTGTTTGCTATGGGTTTTGATAATGCTAGTAATAATACTGTTGCTATACCTAGATTGCGTGAATGTGTGGTTCTTCTACTTTGATGGGTAGTTTTTTTCATCAGCGTTGTGCATTTCATATTCTAAATTTATGTGTAAAAGACGGGTTAGCCGCGTTGGGAGATGTTATGGAGATAGTGAAGGGGTGATTAGACTTATTTGGGGTAGTAATGAGGGTAGTAATCAACTTAAGCAGCAATGGCGTAATTATTTGAGGGAAAGACGTGTCAAATATTGTGTTCGTCTTAAAGATTTGTCTATTCGTTGGAATAGTACTTACAAATTAATTGTTGTACTTATTAGATTTAAAGACCATTTTTCTACTTTTTTAAAAAAATATGCTAACCATATTATAAACACTATGCAAAAAATTGTGAATGTTTTGGTATATTTTAATAATGCAACTCAAAACTTTTAGTCATATTTATACACCTACCGCAAACCAATTTTTTGTTGAAGTTGTTAATCTCGCCGACGCTTTTTGTGAATTTTCAGATGCCGCTTACGTTAGTTATTTTTGTTCTTTCATGAAAGACAAGTTTTTAAAATATTATTAACATACTCCGCATATATATGATATTGCATTTATTCTGGATCCTCGTTTTAGACTTGATGCTTTGGGAAATTGTTTAGATTACTATTATGCTTCTTTTTTTAGTCTATTTCCTATGTACGACGATAAGCCAATAGACCTTAAACAGAATACAACGAGGTTTATAATTTATTTTATCAATTATTTAATGAGTTGCATGCACATGGTAATGCACTTCCTCCCCCAACACAAACATCTTCGTCTAAAGGAAAATCATTTTTGAATCTACATTTGGCAATCTTATGGAAAAAAAGTAAGTCAACTCTTGTTACTGAACGAAGCTAGATTAACGAGCTTTCTATTATCTAACATTTCCTGTTCAGTATAAAGAAGGAGATAACTTTGACGTTCTAAAGTGATGGAAGGAAAAAGAAAGAACATTCCCAATTTTATCAAAGATGACTAAGAAAGTGCTAACAATGCTGGTATCAGAATTTAGTGTGGCTGACAACATGCTAACGAATTATAGAATAAGATTGAACGCAAACTCTCTTGAAACACTCGTTTGCTTCCACGATTGGTAGAAGGTCCAACGTAGAACACAAGAAGAAAAAAACCAAAGATGACGGAAATTCCGATTGTTATAAATTTTTCTCAATTCTCAATTGTACTTCATATTTCAAATAAATATACTTTAACTTTTTTATATCTGGCAATTCTTGAATTAATTTGTAAACAACATAAAAAAATAGCCAAGGCCCGTCCGAGGCCGGTTCCAGGACTAAACTCAATAAAAAAAAGCCCACCCAAGACCCAACCCAAGATTTTCACGAAAGAGTTGAAAGAAAATCATCGCATACCAAACATTAATCCTCACAAATTTGGAAATCAAATTAAGACCGTGGGCATGACAATAACGTAATATTTAAGTTTTCTCGAGTCATCAAAAATAAATCACCCTCACATAGAAAGGAGGTGTTGCGTGCAGATGTTTGGGTTCACAAGCACGTCCAAAATTCAAATTATTACACAAACATAAATTAAAATTGTATAGCCTGAATGAATTTTAAAACTCACTTTTATCATCACCATCTAGTGGACATTGCAAAAACAATGTGTAGGAGCTTATTATGCCCCACCGGAACCATACTTCTTTCCGAACACAATAAGCTGAAGCTTGTCATATCCGGCCAATACACCAGCACCAGCAACAGCTCGCAGAATGTTAGCACCAGCACCCTTGAACAGAGATTTGGCTCCCTCGTTCTTTAGGATCTGAGAGAATGCATCAAGAGAACTCTTATACTTGACTGCCTCACCAGATGTCATCATCATTCTTCTACGAACTGTATCTATTGGGTAAGATGCAAGCCCGGCACCGTTTGTAATGAGCCAACCAAGACCAAAGCTAGCAAAGAAACTATCCTGCAAACACAAAAATGGGAAGAAAAAGTAAGATTATAACTAGTTGAAATGCTGAGACAAGAAAATCATTCATTTGAGATATTGTTATCATGTCATTTGTTTAAAGGCTTAGATATCTTAGTTATTCGACCCTCGGTCCCTCACCCTGCAAATATAACACCTTTTGGTGTAATTCCTAGCAATTTTCTTTTGTTTTTCAACCCTGCAAATATGTCAATTTTTGTCTAGTCCATTCATGTGCAACTCTTGGATGATCTCAATTTTGGAGAAAAAAATGGTCTAACTCGCATAACTCATCTCTGAACTTTTCAAGTCTAACTTTTTAACTTTCAAGGCTTTTAGTGGAATTAAGTCAAAGTGAAAGTAACCATTCATATTTCTAACCATCATAAATAAAATCTGGTATTTTTAAAATTGAAATGACATGAAAAAAGAAGATATAAATCATGTTAGGCGTGTATGTTTTATTGTACAAAGCAAGGTTGCTAGGGAGTGGCTAGGTACTAAAATGAAAATACTAAAATTATGGGAATACGGCAACAGTCACATTATCCAGTGACACAAAGGTTCCCGTCTACAGTGGGCTAAGGGGGGTCAGATGTACTCAGCCTTATCCCCGTACTAAAGCACATAGACTGTATAAATCACGGGAATGAAAAAACAAAAGTAATTCTGGAAGGACCTACAATAAAAACCTATATTTGTTGAAACTTAAAATAAATTTAAGTCTATTAAGTAACACAAACTGGAAACAGGCTACGTTTGGTAGGTAGCCAAAAGTAGCATATTCTGCTTAATCACAATAATAAGCTGTTGGCTTATATGCTTGTGGCTGAAATGCACTCTCTTTAAAAAGCATTTTTCCTTCAGGCTGTAAATGAACATAAGGATGGATGAAAGCATAAAAGAACAAACCTCTAAGCTTCCTGTCAAAACAACTGGCTTGATGGAGTCATATAGCCCAAAGTACAGACCACGATAGACAATAATTCCAACGCAAGATATATTGAATCCACGGTAAAGTCCAGCAACACCATCAGTGGCAAGTGTCTTCTTGTAGACATCAACCAACCCATTGAACTGCCTCTCACCTCCCTTCTTTGCAGCCTTGGCATCATTAGCCAAACGGGTACGGGCATAGTCCAATGAGTACACAAAAAGTAATGATGAAGCCCCAGCAGCACCACCTGAAGCAAGATTTCCAGCAAACCATTTCCAGTAGCCATCGCGGTCCTTCTTGAAGTTAAAGAGCCTCTTGAAGTAATCCTTGAATGCGAAGTTCAAGGCCTACAAAAGCAGCAGCACATATGGTTATTCAATAGCTGTAATACTTTACTGAGAATTGAAAAGGGAAAAAAGTGGATATTAGATTATAAGCTAAAGATTCCAAAAGTCTGTCTGCAATCGGAAGATGCTATGCAAAGAAAATAGGGAGGAGATTATGGAAGAAATATAAAGCAAAGAAAATGTAGAGCAGAATAAAATAATTGTTCAAACTCAATAAATTTGTGCCTTTTACTTGTTCAAATTCATATTTGTAATATATATCTATCATCTATACACTAAAAATCTGATCATATGTAAGAAATTTTGAAACATAAATCATATCTCATTTCATTGCATATCAAAGTAATAGCAAACATAAGAAAATAACTTTATGGAATCCAAACATAGCTTAAATAATACAAAAAGAAGAAAATAGATGACCTGTGTGGGGAAGTAACGGATAACATTGGCAGTGTTTCCTCTCCATAGTGCAACAAATCCTTCATCCTTGATGGTTCGGCTGAAGCAGTCACCAATACCCTTGTAAGGTTCAGCGAGCCTACCAGACTTAATCATTTCATCCTGGTTTTGAATCAACAATTTAACACGTTCAATAGGGGCAGCTGCAGTCTTGGAGACAGCAGCAGAAACACCACCCATGAGAAAGTCAATTGCAAAACTAGCAAATCCTTTCTCTGCAGGAGCTTGCACAAACACTGGTGAAGCATTCGCACTAATTGATGAAAGATCCATGCCAGTTTGGCACTGTTTCATACATGCATTGTTGTAGTTTCCATGCATTGAATACAAAGTAGGCCTGGGTAATGCCCCATAGCGAGCTTGGGCATCTTGGAAATGACTTGAGCTCAGTTGAAGTTGGCTGGCTACCTTCTGAACAACAGTGGGGTAATAAGACATGTCTGCCATTCTGCTCTTTAACTATCTCCTGAAAAGAAAAAGTGTAAAACTAATAAACACTTCAGATGGTTTAGGTGAAGCTTTTTTATTATTTTCAACTCATTTCAAAGTTATGGATATATACACATTTTTCAACAACACAACATTACACGCACTCATCTTTATCTTAATTTTAACTCAAAGCAGTGGACAAATGAAAGGCTGTGTTTATATGTATGTCCTGACATGATACGTACACTGACCCCTCCCCCATGTTTTTGTTAAACACTGAAAGCTCAAACCACACAAAAAACAGCAAATTCCTGCAAGTTCTGGGTTTAAGTGCATTCAAGCAACAAATCCGTAAATTATTAACACAATAACATCAAACCTCCACAGAAAAAATCAGAGTGGCAGCCGTGGATTTAAACACGAGAAACTCAGATTGGCAGTGTACTATAGAGTAGATCTGTTTAAATGAGTTCTTTGGTATAATAGATTAATACAACAAAGTAATTAATATTCATCTTGACAGAGCCACTAACTAATTAATATACATTTGGACAGAGACCATACATGTGACTATCTATCTCTTATGTCTACTTGTTCAAACATTTCAAGTATTCAACTTAAAGAATATGAATTTGATAAAAAGATGGTTATTGTTTCTACATAACTTCAATATTAAAAATTTACATGTAAATTACATTATTTCAATTATTGCACCACCTATCCGGCTATCCAGCATAATATACCTTTCCCTTCCAGTAATTTTTACCCAAAAAATGCAGCAGTAAGTTATCCCATTACTATAAGGAAGAATCATTACCAAACACTCCAACCATAATCATTTTATCATACAACAGAGAATACCATTTCTAACTCTGTTTTTTAGAGAGAAACAGAAGGAAGAATCAATTCAAAACACCCCACATATACTTAGGAAAGCATAATTTAAAGGGGCAGAGGTGGAGGGGTGGCCAACTAGGCCCTGACCCAGGCCAAATTTTAAAATTGCTTATATTTTTGATGTAAAAATTTATGTGTGAAAATTTATCCTTAAAAAATCTTTGTACCGGCCCAGCCAACTCTTACTCCTGGCTATGGCCCTTATAATTTACATGTATATATAAGCTAAGGCATCTTCAACCAAATGAGATCTGGAGATCCACATTCATTGACGCACAAACGACAAATCTACAACACCTCAATTGAGGAACTCACTGATAGATCTAAACTAACGAAGTCCGATTCAAAGATAGCTTGATGAACATGACATAACTGATACGAATAAAATAAAAACAAATCAAATCATAAAACTCGTAGATCCAGACAATCCCGACCAAAAACATCTACGAAGGAAGAGGCAAAACAAATCAGAAGAGAGAAATGAAAAGTGCATATATAAAATCCTAACGAATCAGGGATCAAATCTCCGTCCAGACCACATAAAGTAAACACTACAAATTGTATAAAGGAGCATGCTATGGATATATACAGCTACCTGTGCTGAACTCGCCTCAGCGGGCGCCTTAGAGAGACTAATGGAGCAGGACGAGGCGCACTGATCTTAACAGAGAAAGCGGGAGGATTTTGAGCGACGAACGCCAGTTTATATAGTGGGTGACTTGCAGTATATATTCGGTGCTCAGCGGTGTACGCTTTGAACCATCACCCACCTTCGAGACTTTCGGTGTACTGTTGATCCTAAGAACATCAAAGGGTTGACATTGCATAAAGAGTGACTACAAATTTGAGTAATCGCTACCTCCGTCTCGATGGGTTCTCATGATAGAGCGTCTTTACTTACTCAAATTTGGGACCGGGCCGAGGGTTGGACGGTCCGGTTCGGGCCGGGCCACCCGCCCGGGTCACGGGTCGGGCCACGGGTCGGGCCACCCGCCGGGCCGGGTCGGGCCGGTTAAATTTTTTTTTAATTTATATTTTATACTTTATAGTTTTATACAAGTATTAAAAAACAAACTTCAAGTGCATTTATTTGAAATGAAATAGGAACTACATTTGAAAATTAAATAGGAACTATAATTGTTTTTAATCGGAATCTCCGGCATAGGTAGAGCCACCCTCGGTTGTAGATTCATCCATAAAGTGTTGGGATGGGGTGATGTCAATTTCTTGAGCTCTACAGGCTGCTTTCAACCAATCGTGGTAGCATATAAGCATCTCAAGAGATTCAGCGCTCAACTTCGTTCTGGTTTGTGTTGGGACATTGCCGGCCGAACTAAATTCTTGTTCCACGGCAACCGTTGAAACCGGCATTGATAGCACTTGCTTAGCCATCTTTGCTAAAACCAGGAACATTCTTTCTTTTCCCTTCCACCAGTTTAGTACGTCAAAATCATCATCTTCTTCAAAATCAACATCATAAGTTAAATACAAAGAAATCTCATTAATTGTGCTTTGTTGTGTAGCGGGAGTTGATTTCGTTTTTTTAATAAGATTGGCAAACGTAGATTTGAAAATTGATTTTCCTTTAGATGATGTTTGTGTCGGGGGAGGGGGCGCATTGCCATATTGTGCATGAAACTCATTGAATAATGCATAAAATATATCACTAACCTCGTTGTATTCTTTTTTCGGATCAATTGGGTTGTCCTCATACATTGGCAATGGACCAAAAAAAGCAGCATAATAATAATTCAAACATTCTTCTAAAGAACCAAGTATAAAACGAGGATCGAGAACAAATGCAATACCATAAATATGCGGAATATGTGAATAATATTTTAAAAACTTTTCCTTCATAAAACTAGCAAAATAACTCACTGATAGAGTATATCTAGAGAGAAGTGAGAGCTAGAGAGAGAAGTAGTATATTTGCTTTGTATTAATGAATTCTGAACCCCTACGACTACTCCCAAGGGGAGTATTTATAGAGAAAATTAGGGCTGGGCTCCCAAGTCTTGGGCTTGGGAGGCCCATTTACAACAGGGCCACTAATGGGCCGGATACAAAGTGTATAGAAATGATAAGTATAAAATCATGTTCTAGAGGCTACCTATGGATGACGAGGGCATGGCCGATGAGGGCATGGCCGATGAGGTCACCCGGTTCTCCTGACTTCTGGATCATATTCTGGGCGGCCTTCTTTTCCTGGCCGATGAGAGCATGGCCAATGAGGGCACCCGGTTCTCCGGGCTTCTGGATCATATTCTGGATAGATCTTTTCCTGGCCGATGAGGGCATGGCCGATGAGAGCATGGCCGATGAGGGCACCCGGTTCTCCGGACTTCTGGATCATATTCTGGATAGATCTTTTCCTGGCCGATGAGGGCATGGACGATGAGAACATGGCCGATGAGGGCATGGACGATGAGAGCATGGCCGATGAGGGCACCCGGTTCTCGGGGCTTCTGGATCATATTCTGAGTAGACTTTTTCCTGGCCGATGAGGGCATGGCCGATGAGAGCATGGCCGATGAGGGCACCCGGTTCTCCGGGCTTCTGGATCATATTCTGAGTAGACCTTTTCTTGGCCGATGAGGGCATGGCCGATGAGGGCATGGCTGATGAGGGCACGGCCGACGAGGTCACCCAGCGATCATGGTACCTTCTGTTCTTCTGAGTATGTGGGTCCTGGGGCCTAGACCCATATACTCCATCAGGAGTCCCCCACTCTCTAAGCTGAGATGTAGACGAAGTGAAGGAGAGTAGATTTCTGTGCTTGATGCTCTTGGCCGATGCGGGACCACGTTGGCCGTTCCCTGTCGTGGCGTTTGGTGGCCCTGTTCTGAGTTTGGCCGTTACCCGTTCCTTGATGTGGACGAGGAAGGCTGTTACTCCTCTGATGCGCTTGTTTGCGGACGATGAGTGTTCCGGCATGAGTGGCCGACGAAGGTAGTGTCTATCCTTGGTCGTTGATGGTTTGAACTTCCCTTTCGGGCTGATGAGGCCATTGTAGTTATCTCTTGTTTGAGGACGATGGGTGTCCTTTGTTTCGAGGACGATGAGTGTCCTTCACCTTGAGGACGATGAGCGCCCTTCGTTTCGAGGACGACAGATGTCCTTCATCTTGAGGACGATGGGTGTCCTTCGCCTTGAGGACGATGAGCGTCCTGCCTTGCGCTCTGGCCGAAGGTGGACGTTTGCGGTGTTCTTGTCATTGTCTTGAAGACGATGTGTGCCATTGGCCTTGAGGAGTGTCCTTGGCTCCAAGGATGATGTGCCCTTAATCCTGAGGACGATGTGTGTCCTGCTTTGCGCTTCGGCCTGGCCGAAGGGTGAACACATGGTTGTTGGACGTTGAGGTGCCATTGTCATGGGCTTGTGTTCGGTTGATTTTAAATTTGTTTCTTTACGTTGGAGGCCGATGTAGTCCCCCAGACCTTCTTCTGGCCGATGAAGACATGGCCGACGGAGGTACCACTTGGTAGTCCTTGCTTTTTGTTGCTTTCTGGATGATTTCATGTATGTGGAGGCCGATGTAGTCCCCCAGTCCCCCACTCCTTGAGGCTCATGTAGTGAGGTGAAGAGGAGTAGAGCAATACACGTCTTCAATAGGGGGGCCGAGGGTCGACACCTTTTTATCCACAATGGGGCGATGCCTCGTTAAAAACCTCATTAGGAAAAACCCTGTGGGAAAAAATCCTAATGAGGGAAAAAGAGCACACCGGATCCCCCAAAATGAACTCCAAGGGGTGAACCCTTCGGCCTAGGTGTGGAGCTGAAACAGTGTCCGTCTGATGAGGGGACGCCCGCCTGGAGGTGAGGACGACGGCGCTGATGAGCCGGTCCGAATATGAGGACGAGGCGATGGATGCCTGTCTGAATGTGAGGACGACAATGGAATTGATCCATGCGTCATATGAAGGCGACGGTCGCTGTCCAGGAAGGGAATTGCGAGCCCGGTCGCTATAACAGTACCTCGGCATTGGGAGCCGGTCTCAAGATATGAGGACGACGGCAGTGGGGGCCGGTCCGAAATCCATGCAACGGTCGCCATCCGGTAAAGGAATGGCTAAGACCGGTCTTAAGATAGAGCATCAGACCATGGCCGAGGGGCTGGTCGTGATGTGAAGACGATGGCGATGAGGAGCCGTTCCTTCAATCCATGCAACGGTCGCCATCCGATAAAGGAATGGCTAAGACCGGTCTTGACATAGATGATCACGCCAAGGCCGAGAGACCAGGCGTGACTTGAGGATGACGGCTATGATGAAGCCGATCCAAGTAAATGATGACGAGGCGTTGGTGAAGTTGTGCGTCATGTAGTGGCGATGGTCACCATCCAGGAAGGGATGGTGAGCCCGATCGCTGGCTCAAGACTCTCGGTGCTGAGGAAGCCGGTCTTGAGATAGATGATCACGCCTTGGCCGAGGGGTCGGGCATGATTTGAGGACGACGGTGCTGATGAAGCCGGTCCAAATAAATGATGACGAAGGCATTTGATGAAGCCTTTCGTCATGTAAACTCAAGGCTCTCAGTGCTGAGGATACCGGCCTTGAGATAGACGATCACGCCTTGGCCGAGGGGCCGGGCATGATTTGAGGACGACGGTGCTGATGAAGCCGGTCCAAATAAATGATGACGAAGGCATTTGATGAAGCCGTTCGTCATGTAAACTCAAGGCTCTCGGTGCTGAGGATACCGGCCTTGAGATAGATAATCACGTTGAGGCCGAGGGACCGTTCATTTTGAGGACGAGGGTCGCCATCCAGGAAGGGAATGGCGAGCCCGCTCGCTGGCCCAAGACGTTCGGCGTTGAGGAGGCCGGTTTTGAGACGAAGGATCACGTTGAGACCGGGGGGTCTGCCGTGATCTGAGGACGACGGCGCTGATGAAGCCGCTCCTCGTATGAAGGCGAGGGTCACCATCCAGGAAGGGAATGGCGAGCCCGCTCGCTAGTTCAAGACGCCCGGCGCTGAGGAGGCCGGTCTTGAGATGAAGGATCACGTTGAGACCGGGGGGTCTGCCGTGATTTGAGGACGACGGCGCCGATGAAGCCGCTCCTCATATGAAGGCGAGGGTCGCCATCCAGGAAGGGAATGGCGAGCCCGCAAGCAAGCTCAAGACGCTCGGCGCTGAGGAGGCCGGTCTTGAGATGAAGGATCACGTTGAGACCGGGGGTCTGCCGTGATTTGAGGACGACGGCGCCGATGAAGCCGTTCCTCATATGAAGGCGAGGGCCGCCATCCAGGAAGGGAATGGCGAGCCCGCTCGCAAGCTCAAGACGCTCGGCGCTGAGGAGGCCGGTCTTGAGATGAAGGATCACGTTGAGACCGGGGGGTCTACCGTGATTTGAGGACGACAGCGCCGATGAAGCCGCTCCTCATATGAAGGCGAGGGTCGCCATCCAGGAAGGGAATGGCGAGCCCGCTCACAAGCTCAAGACGCTCGGCGCTGAGGAGGCCGATCTTGAGATGAAGAATCACGTTGAGACCGGGGGGTCTGCCGTGATCTGAGGACGACGGCGCTGATGAAGCCGCTCCTCATATGAAGGCGAGGGTCGCCATCCAGGAAGGGAATGGCGAGCCCGCTCGCAAGCTCAAGACGCTCGGCGCTGAGGAGGCCGGTCTTGATTTGAAGGATCACGTTGAGACCGGGGGGGTCTGCCATGATCTGAGGACGACGGCGCTAATGAAGCCGCTCCTCGTATGAAGGCGAGGGTCGCCATCCAGGAAGGGGAATGGCGAGCCCGCTCGCAAGCTCAAGACGCTCGGCGCTGAGGAGGCCGGTCTTGAGATGAAGGATCACGTTGAGACCGGGGGGTCTGCCGTGATTTGAGGACGACGGCACCGATGAAGCCGCTCCTCATATGAAGGCGAGGGTCGCCATCCAGGAAGGGAATGGCGAGCCCGCTCGCAAGCTCAAGACGCTCGGCGCTGAGGAGGCCGGTCTTGAGATGAAGGATCACGTTGAGACCGGGGGTCTGCCGTGATTTGAGGACGACGGCGCCGGTGAAGCCGCTCCTCATATGAAGGCGAGGGTCGCCATCCAGGAAGGGAATGGCGAGCCCGCTCGCAAGCTCAAGACGCTCGGCGCTGAGGAGATCGGTCTTGAGATGAAGGATCACGTTGAGACCGGGGGGTCTGCCGTGATCTGAGGACGACGGCGCTGATGAAGCCGCTCCTCGTATGAAGGCGAGGGGCGCCATCCAGGAAGGGAATGGCGAGCCCGCTCGCAAGCTCAAGACGCTCGGCGCTGAGGAGGCCGGTCTTGAGATGAAGGATCACGTTGAGACCGAGGGGTCGGCCGTGATCAGAAGACGACGGCGCTGATGAAGCCGCTCCTCGTATGGAGGCGAGGGTCGCCATCCAGGAAGGGAACGGCGAGCCCGCTCGCTGGCTCAAGGCGCTCGGCGCTGAGGAGGCCGGTCTTGAGATGAAGGATCACGTTGAGATCGGGGGGTCTGCCGTGATCTGAGGACGATGGCGTTGATGAAGCCAGTCGTTGGAAGATAAAGAGGATGGCGAAGCCGTACCTATAATGAAGGACGACGTTGAACGCTCGTCTGATCCGCATATATGGTCTTGCTTCGTCCATAATGCATAGTATTTGCCTGATATGTACTTAGCCAAATATGTGGCTTGATTTGTGGGAATTTCATTTTTATTGCTCGAGGCCAGCGAGTGCTCGGTCCTTGGCTTCCCTCTTTTGATTTGTGGGGATTTCGCTCGAGGCCGGCGAGTGCGCGGTCCTCGGCTCTCCCTCTTTTAATTTGTGGGGATTTCGCTCGAGGCCGGCGAGTGCGCGGTCCTCGGCTCTCCCTCTTTTAATTTGTGGGGATTTCGCTCGAGGCCGGCGAGTGCACGGTCCTCGGCTGTCCCTCTTTTATTTCTTCCTCTACTGCTATGAGCGAGGAGTGGGGGGTCCTTCTTTCAGGCTCGACCGAGGGGGTTGCTATTCCCTCGGCCGATAGGGAGTCCAGGAGGGCAACTGTCCGGCCTCTGGCGCTGGCGCGTCCCTAGACCTTGGGGGGTCCCGTCGTCTATTTATGGCGCGGGCTAGGCTTTTGGTCGGTTACCGACGACTGTCGTTTCCCAATCCCAAGTGTGGGGATTTTGTCATCTCAACCATTCTTTCAGGCCTGTAGTAATGCGATTTAGCGCGAGGACGACGCGATGAGCTTCCCATTTCGAGACGTGGGCCGTTTGCGGGCCCCTCGTCCTGGGACGTCGTCGGCCATACCTGAGCGTTTCGCTCGAAGGGACCGGAACGACGTTCCTTGTTGTGTGGCGTCGTCGGCCATACCTGAGCGTTTCGCTCGAAGGGGGCGAAGCGACGTGCTTTGTTGTGTGGCGTCGTCAGCCATACCTGAGCGTTTCGCTCGAAGGGGGCGAAGCGACGTGCTTTGTTGTGTGGCCTCGTCGGCCATACCTGAGCGTTTCGCTCGAAGGGGGCGAAGCGACGTGCTTTGTTTTGTGACATCCTTTACTTAAACTTTACAAGAGATAAGCGGAATACAACAGGTGTGTTGTTCATGACAACGGCTTTTATTAGGGTCAATGGCTCGAGGCCGAGGGAGGTAACTTCTTAACAATCCGTTCGGGAGTTAGCTTCTTAATGAACTTTACCGAGACGTAGGGCCCTTCATATTTTGAGGGATAAGCCATCTGCCGTGCGTCCCTTCGAGGAAGGACGCAGTCAGCGGATGTGACGCTTCTTCAGTTGGGGCTCCTCGAAGTCCTCGTCATCGCTGAGCTTCCCAATTTCATGCTTCTTCGTTGAGGTGTCCCCTTCCTGATTGCCGGTGGAGTTCCTTGGGGTAACTTTGACAAATTGGTGGAGTTCACCCCGTTGAATCAAGCGCTCAATGGCTTTCTTCAGCGCGACGCAGTCGTCTGTATTGTGGGATGTGTTCTTGTGGTAACGACAATAAGTGCCACCCTGGTGGACGGCGTAGACTTCCGTGGCCGACTGGGGATCTTTAGGGATGAGACCTTGCTCCTCCGCATAGTCGAAGATGGTGTCCACCGAGTGCGTGAGCGTAGTCCTCGGGACGTCCGTCCTCGGCTGCCATGGGCGCTCCCTCCGGTTTCGACGGGCATGGCCCCCGGCCGAGGATGCGTTTGGAGCCGACGCCTCGTCTGACCTCTTCGATGGTTGGCCTACATCCTTCTTGCGGGAGTGGAGCTCATCGGCGTCAGTGTACAAGCTCCCTCGTTGGAGTGCCTTGGTGTATGACCTCGGCGGGTCAGTGATGAGGCTCCTCGCATAGGGGCTGCTGCGGAGAACGCCTTGGAAGAGGACGAGGAGGGTGCGCTCATCGGCACCTTCGACCTCGTCTGTCTCCTTCGTCCATCGATCGATGAAAGACCGAAGTGATTCATCGTGTTGCTGCTTGATGGAGAGAACGTGGGAGAAATGTTTTCTCACGCGCTTCCTTCCGGCGAAGTGGGTGAGGAAGCGTTGGGCAAGATCCTGCCACGAGTCTATACTTCCTTCAGGGAGCGCGTTGAACCACTCATACGCCGGCCCCTCCAGAGTAGAGAGGAACCAACGACAGAGGTATTCATCTGACGCGTTCACCATCAGCATGCTGTTCTGATAACGGCTGAAGTGTTCCTGGGGGTCTGATCGGCCGTCATAGGGCTTGATGGCATTCCCTCAGTACTTCTCGGGTATTGGGGCCGAGAGCACCCTCGCGGTGAAGGGAGTTTTTGTTCTGATTTGGATGATGGGGTCACCACGTCCGTCGGCCAGCTCCCTCTCCAGGGCGCTGACCTTAAGCATGAGCGCGTGGTAACCTGGACCCTCGGATGAGTTGGCCGTAGGGATGGTGGCCGCTTGTCTAGCCTCCATCTGGGCCAGTCTCCTTTCCAGCTGGGCGATGACCTCGTCCCGAGGGTCCTTGGCGGCCGTAGTGGTGCCTTGCTGGTTGCGCACGCGAGCTTCTTGAGTCGTGTTGATTCGATGACGCGCATTGTCCTCGTGCAATTTTCCTTTGCCTTTGTCGAGGCGGGGCCGATCCGCTGTCCGGGATACGGACCCCAAGCTTTCTCTTGGTGAGCCAGGCTCACGTTCACCAATCCGTCCCACCATCCTCTCCGAAGCAGGCTGACGACGCGTGTCACCTAGCCTATTAAAGGCTGAGGCTTTTCCACGCGCTGGGGCCGGTCCAGCTCGAAGTGGGGAAGCAGGGTGGGAGTGGGATGACGACGTGTCCTGGGGCACCACCCCTTCGTCGTTGCCCAGCCTGATGGCCAACGGCTGGGGCTGAGGAGGCGGTGTAGTGTTCTCCCCAGTCCTTGGCATGAGTGCGCTGAGGACGGTGGGGTTCTGGGCCAAGCTGGCGATGATGGCCGAGAGCGCGGCCTGAAGCTGAGGGTCAACGGCAAGAGAGGCCGGTCGCGCCGAGGCATTGTCACCTTTCTCTGCACGCTTCTTGTCCAAGCCGATGCGGGCGTCAGGGGCGCCGCCGTTGAGCTTGTTGCGCAGGTCACCTGCGAGGTCGATGGCTTCCAGGAAGACATCCCCCTCGGCGGCCTTGTCGGCCGTGGCGTCCTCCTCGTGTTCCCTGTTCTCCTGATCCTCAGGGATGGCCTTGCTGACGAGGTTGCGGTTTGACCTAGTTCTTCCCATGATCAGTGGTTAGCTGTGCTTGGTAGCGACGAAGGATGCTAACTTGATTGTTCTAGCTCTCAACGAGAGCACCAAATGATAGAGTATATCTAGAGAGAAGTGAGAGCTAGAGAGAGAAGTAGTATATTTGCTTTGTATTAATGAATTCTGAACCCCTACAACTACTCCCAAGGGGAGTATTTATAGAGAAAATTAGGGCTGGGCTCCCAAGTCTTGGGCTTGGGAGGCCCATTTACAACAGGGCCACTAATGGGCCGGATACAAAGTGTATATAAATGATAAGTATAAAATCCTGTTCTAGAGGCTACCTATGGATGACGAGGGCATGGCCGATGAGGGCATGGCCGATGAGGTCACCCGGTTCTCCTGACTTCTGAATCATATTCTGGGCGGCCTTCTTTTCCTGGCCGATGAGGGCATGGCCGATGAGAGCATGGCCGATGAGGGCACCCGGTTCTCCGGGCTTCTGGATCATATTCTGGATAGATCTTTTCCTGGCCGATGAGGGCATGGCCGATGAGAGCATGGCCGATGAGGGCACCCGGTTCTCCGGGCTTCTGGATCATATTCTGGATAGATCTTTTCCTGGCCGATGAGGGCATGGACGATGAGAGCATGGCCGATGAGGGCATGGACGATGAGAGCATGGCCGATGAGGGCACCCGGTTCTCCGGGATTCTGGATCATATTCTGAGTAGACTTTTTCCTGGCCGATGAGGGCATGGCCGATGAGAGCATGGCCGATGAGGGCACCCGGTTCTCCGGGCTTCTGGATCATATTCTGAGTAGACCTTTTCCTGGCCGATGAGGGCATGGCCGATGAGGGCACGGCCGACGAGGTCACCCAGCGATCATGGTACCTTCTGTTCTTCTGAGTATGTGGGTCCTGGGGCCTAGACCCATATACTCCATCACTCACATAATCAGCATTCTCAAAATTTGAAAAAGCACCGGCGAGATTAACAGCTTCACGAATAAATTGGTTTGAGATAGGTTTATAAACATGACTAAAAGTTTCAGTTGCATTATTAAAATATATCAAAGCATTACAAATTTTTTCACAGGTGTCGATCTCAACCGAGTTTATAATATAGTTATTATATTGTTTCATAAAAGCAGGAAAATGTTGTTTATATCTAAGAAGAACTCCAATTAACTTATAGGTACTATTCCAACGAATAGACAAATCTTTAGGAAAAGCCACATATCTCTCACCTCTTTCTATCAAATAATCATGTCATTTTTTCCTAAGTTGTCCATTACCCCAAATACGTCTAATCTCCCCTTGACTACCTCCAACGATGCTCCCAAAGCTTTTAGACCATCTTGCACACATAAATTTAGAACATGACATGCACATCGTTGATGAAAAAATGTACCCATCAAAGAAGTAGAACCACACAATTCACGCAATCTAAGAATAGCAGCAGTATTATTAGTAGCATTATCAAAACCAATAGCAAACACCTTATCAATTAAATTATACTCAATTAAAATACGTTCAATCAAAATATAAATATATTCAGCGGTGTGACGATCATTAAATTCACGGAAAGCAAGAACACGTTTATGCATATACCAATCATTATCAATATAATGTACAGTCAGACCCAAATAATGTAAATTATGATAAGTATCCTCCCATATGTCACAACATACACTAACACGTCCATCAAAGTTTGCAAAATAATTTTGTAACCTTACCTTTTCCGCACCATAAAGCCTTGAAATTTCTTTCTTAACCGTTTTGCGACTATAACCTCTATATTGCGGATTTAAACAAGTTTGTGCATAATCACGAAAAGCAAGACTTTCAAAAAACAAATAAGGCAAATTTTCTTCAACAAGTAAGTTAGCCATACCTGTCAAATTTTGTGCATCATTGTATGAGAAATTACCAAAAGCTTGTTGGTTATTTGCAAACCTCGATATTTGCGTTTGCTTCCCCGTTCCGCCGCCTAATTTTGCATACTCCACCGGGTGTTTGGACTTAAGGTGTCTTGTGGCGGATCCGTATCCGCCGGAAATCCTCAAGCTATAGTTTTTCTTGCACCAATTGCAAGTTGCGGTCCAATTCCCGGTGTTCGGGTCCTTCCACTTAGAAAAATTATTAGCCATTAGTTCAGATTTACTTTTTTTGTACCTGTTTGAGATGAGGCTGCTTGGTCGGCGTCATGGCTGCCGCCACCCTCCTCCTCCTCGTCGTCGTGGCTCTCCGGAATTACTTCCTCCACATCGTCGTCCTCGTCCTCGAGCTCTTCTTCGTCAATGGTCCTCGGTTGGTCTTGAAAAAAGCGGGAATTATGTCGGTGCAATTCTTGTTCTAGTTGTTCGTCGGTCATCGCATCCCCATCCCTCCTTGCGTAACCCGTATCAAAATCATCTCGACTTTGAAATGAAGAACCGATATGTGATTTACCTTTGCGGGATCTCTTCCTCGCAAGCTCTTTCGTTCGGTTGCGCTCGAGGTTACCCATATCAACCGAATATCTAGGACGATCCATCTAAAAAATGTAGCGATTAATAAAAAATTGTAAAAAACTAATTAACTATTTATGTAACTATTAAATCGAGTTATAGCAAATTAACTAGTGAATTAACTAGTTTTGTGTACAACATATTTTTTAAACTAGAGTCAAATGTAGCAATTAATAAAAAATTGTAAAAAAGTAATTAACTATTTATCTAACTATTAATTCGAGTTATAGCAAATTAACTAGTGAATTAACTAGTTTTGTGTACAACTGATGGAGTATATGGCCCGAGAACCCCCGGCCCACAGACTCCTACTACTCCAAACGAGGCCCAACAGGCCCAGAAGGCCCAACAGGCTCAAATCACAGCGCCCAGAGTACCAAGCAGCCCACAATGCGCACCAGGGGCGCCTTCGGCCCCCTGGCCGAGGGCTCTAACTCCCACATGAGGGCCAAAACAGGAAAACAAGATGACTGGGGAAAACGGCGAAAATCACTAGCCCTCGGCACCTGGAGCCCTCGGCACCGAGAGGGTCCCCAGTACTCAGAGCCCTCGGTTAGTCCTCTACAGCCGAGGGCACCTTTCCCGACATGATATCCGCACCACATGCGTACAGATCACCGTACCCTGTAAAAACGTCCCATCCAACAGCCGCGTTAAATGCGGCCACATGCGGCTGCCAGCGCCAACCAGTTGAGGTGACCTCTCGGCCAATGGGCGCTTGACACGTGTCCCTGTCCGGCATTTATTGTTACTATAAATAGCACCCCATTTCCCCATTTGTGACCACGCTGAAAACGCTCCACACTTTATAATATACTTTCTCTCTCTATATTTACTTGCTCTGACTTCTCTCTTATTACTCCCCGTAATAACCCCTCGGATAAGCTACCCCCCGGGTACACTATCCATCATTTGGTGCTCTCGTTGAGAGGTCGAACGATCAAGTAAGAAACCCTCCCCCCTCGCCAAACACTAGCCCTCTACCAAAATGGTGAGAACTACATGTGCCAACTCCAAAAACGTAGAAGACAAGAACCTGGCCCTCAGTGACGTCAACGCCCCTGAAGCCTCTCACAGGGCTATCGAGGGCGGTGTCATCGCTGGGCTGGAACAGGCGGCTGTCGACCTACGCCTTCAGATCCAGCAGAATGCCCCCGATGCCCGCCTCGGCATCGAGGCCAAGAAGAAGAACCGGAGCGATGACCAAGTCAGCCCTCCGGTCCTCACCATCGACGTTCATTCGGCGCTCTCCGCCTTCATCCAGACACTCACTCAGAACCCGGGTGCCTTCGGCACCCTGGCTCCGGCTCAACCCCAGGTTGGGGAGAACATCATGCTTCCCCCTCTGCCACACCCCTTCGGAAACCCCATCCCTCGGATTGGGAATGACGAAGGGGTAGTGGCCCAAGATACGGCCTCCCAGGAGGTTCAGTCCCGGGACCGCCACAATGACAACATAGAAAGGCCCCGCACTTCCGCCCTCAACCGGCTCGGAGGGGGGCAAGACCGCCGAGGGGTCCAAGACCGCCTTGGTGGAAATGCACTCCCAAGGCCCCAGGAAAGCGGAGGGTCTGTCTCGAGGGCAGACGAGGAGAGTTCTCCTCGGGACAAAGGCAAGGCACCCCTTCATGCCGACGATGCTCGTCACCAAATCAACCAGGCCCACTCGGCCCGGGTTCGTTCGCAGGGGGCGGAGACCCTCCCAAAGGACCCCCGGGACGAAATTATTGCGGCCCTCCAACGCCGACTTGATGAAATGGAGGCAACCAAGGCTCACGCCACCACCTCCACCCCTCATTCAGACCTCAAATACGAGGCCATGATGGCCAAAATGGAGGAATTGTAGAAAAAGGTAGTTGAGGGCTCCGGGGAACCCATCATCCAACTCCGGACCCGGACGCCATTTACCCCAAGGGTATTGGCGGCCCGGATCCCGGAAAAATACCGAGGGCAACACATACAGCCCTACAACGGGAAGACGGACCCCCATGAACACTACAGCAAATATCAGAACAGCATGATGATGGTAGGGGCGTCGGACGAATATTGGTGTCGTTGGTTCCCTCTCCACCTTAGAGGGGCCGGCATACGAATGGTTCAACCGGTTGCCCGAAGGCTGCATTGATTCGTGGCAAGAACTCGCCCAGTGATTCTTGACGCAATTCGCCGGGAGGCGTCGCACAAGGAAGCACTTCTCCCACCTCCTAACCATACACGCCAGAGGAGGGATGAGACCCTTCGGGACTTCCTGGAGCGCTGGAGAACGGAAGCCGACAAAGTCGACGGTGCTGACGACGGGACCCTCCTGGCCCTCCTACAAACCGTCCTCCGCACCGGCAACTTTTCAAGGAGCCTCATCATTGAACCCCCCCGCGACTACATAAGGGCCCTGCAGCGGGGGGACCGATATGCCGAGGCCGAGGAGGTGGAGAAATACTACCAGCATCCGGATCAGCAACACCCGAAGGCTGACAACAAGAACAACCGGGGGCCGGGGGCTCCTCCAAATCGGCCCAAGGCTTCAGGACCCTCTGATGACCGCCCTCGGCAAGGCCAAGCCAAGCCCGGGGGAGGTTATAAGAACAGCCCTAAGACTTGGGCACAGCCCATTCTCCTGGACCGCCCTCGGACACCATTGACGCACCCCGTCAGCATCATCCTTGATTTTGCCGAGGAGAGGGGCCTCGTTGAGCGCGATTCTCGCGCACCCCCGGAGGTACTTGCTATCAACCCTCAGTTCCCCTACTGTCGTTTCCATCGGCATCAGGGGCACAGAACCGATGACTGCCATCGGTTAAAGACGGCCATCGAGAGATTGATACAAGCGGGCCATCTGTCCCAATTTATCCAGAGCCCTCGGCAGGAGGGACCTTCTCATCAGGGACCTCCCCGAGGGCACCACACGAAGGTGAACGCTTGGGTGAACCCGAACACCATCCCCCTCGGCAAGAAGAGGGAGATCGGAAACTTGGAGGAGGAAGAGGAGGAGTACCCCCACTACCAGGAGAAAAGCGCCACAACCTCATGATCACCGGTGGCAATACAGGGGGCGATTCCACCAGCCAGCGGAAAAAGTGGGCTCAATCGCTTTACGTGGGGGAAGTCACCCATATGCCCCCGGTAAAGCGGCTGAGGGAGGAACCCATCACCTTCACCAACGCAGATCTCCCTCCTACTTCTTCTCCTCACATGGATGCCTTGGTGATTCGGACTGAAATAAACAACACCATCATTCACCGAACTTACATTGACACGGGCAGCTCCGTCAATGTAATGTACCTCAGCACCTTTAGAGAGCTTCATCTGGAGAGGGGGTCCCTTCGGCCCATTAAGACCCCTCTTGCCGGCTTCACCGGCGATACTATTGATTCCGAGGGGGTAATAACCCTCCCGGTAATCTTCAGCGACGGGCTCCATAAAGCCCAGCTCGAAGTGGAGTTCGTCGTCGTCAACATCGACTGCGCCCACAACATCATCCTCGGCCGGCCAGCCCTCGAGGACCTCGAGGCCGTCATCTCCATGAGGCACCTCTGCCTCAAGTTCCCCGCCGAGGGGGGCGTTGGCTACTCCCGGGGGAATCAGAAAATTGCCCGCGCTTGCTATCTTCAAGTCACGAAGAAAGTAAGTAAGACGGAGTTCCGTGTTGACACCATTTCCGGAACCATCGACGAAGAAGAAAAGAGGCCGAGGGCTGAACCAGCCGAGGACGTAGAAGACTTTGCGCTCGATCCGGCCAAGCCGGAGAGAGTCGTGAAGATTGGAGCCCAGCTCCCTGAAGATCTGAAGACCGGTATCACCGACGCCCTCCGCGCCTACTCCACTGTCTTTGCATGGGGGCCGGAGGACATGCCGGGAATAAGCCGAAGGGTCATCACCCACCGCCTCTCGGTGGACCCCTCGGCAAAAGCAGTACAACAACGAAGAAGACCCCTCTCCGCCGAAAGGAGGGAATTTGTGAAGAAGGAGGTCGCCATGCTCCTCTCTATTAAGCACATCAAGGAGGTAAAATACCCCTCATGGCTGGCGAACGTAGTCCTCGCACAGAAACCGCCCTCATTCCGCATGTGCGTGGACTACACGGATCTCAACAAGGCATGTCACATGGACCCCTTTCCTCTGCCCAATATTGATCAGCTGGTGGATGAAACCGCGGGGTGTGAGATCATGTCATTCCTTGACGCATTCCGCGGATACCATCAAGTATTCCTGCACGAGGGAGACGCCGAAAAAATAGCCTTCATGACTCCCGAGGGCATCTTCTGCTACCTAGTGATGGCCTTCGGCCTAAAGAACTCAGGGGCCACTTACACCCGAATGGTGGCCCGAGTCTTTCAGGCCGTCCTAGGGCGCACCATGGAGGCCTATGTTGACGACATGATCGTCAAAAGCAAACAATCTTCCAGCCATGCCGACGACCTCCGGGAAATCTTCGCCATCATGCAAAAGTTCAACCTTCGGCTAAACCCGAAGAAGTGCACCTTCGGCGTCCAAGGGGGCAAATTCTTAGGCTACATGGTGAGCCGAAGGGGTATTGAGGCCAATCCCGAGAAGATCCAGGCCATCATCGACATGGAGCCCCCACGCAATGTGAAGGAAGTTCAACGGTTGACGGGCCGCCTGGCAGCCCTCAACCGCTTTCTATCTAAATCAGCGGAGAAGTCTTTACCCTTCTTCGAGATCATGAGGAAGACGGCTGGCTTTCAATGGACTCCAGAATGCCAGGAGGCTTTCGACGAGCTCAAACGATACCTATCTTCACCCCCTGTGCTCTCCAAACCAAAGGTAGGGGAGACCCTCTACCTCTACCTTGGGGTCAGCCCGACGGCCATCAGCTCTGTGCTCATCCGGGAGGAAGACGGCATCCAACATGCCATCTTCTATGTAAGCAAGACCCTAAGGGAGGCCGAGGTCAGGTACTCTCCTGTGGAAAAAACGGTGTTAGCTATCGTTTGGAACGTCAAGAAGTTGGGCCACTACTTTCAGGCTCACTCGGTTCATGTCCTCACTCATCAACCCCTCGGTGCCCTCATGAGGAGCCCCACCAGCTCCTTCCGCATGGTGAAGTGGGCTATCTTCTTGAGCCAGTACAACATTGACATCCGTCCGAGGCCTGCCATCAAGGGCCAAGCCCTGGCGGACTTTTTGACGGAGTGTACCGCAAGGGCAGCCACGGACGGGGAGCCCTCGGCTACCTCGGACGACTGGTGGACCCTCTACACCGACGGCTCCTCCGCAACCAAAACATGCGGGGGAGGGGTAGTCCTCGTTACTCCCGAGGGCTTCAAGGCCTACTATGCAATCCGCTTCTCCTTCAAAGTCTCCAATAACGAGGCCGAGTATGAGGCCCTCCTGTGTGGCCTTCGGCTGGCTGCCAACATGAAGGCTCGGCAGATTCATATCAAATGCGACTCCAAGTTGGTCGTTGGCCAAATCTCCGAGGAGTATGAGGCCAAGGAGGGAAGAATGAAACAGTACAGGGAGGCAGCCAAGGAGTTGCTTAAGGTATTTGAGGCACACTCTCACTCAAATACTGAGGGCTCAGAACTCTGAGGCCGACATACTATCTAAGCTCTCGGCCGACTCCCCCGAGCACATCTCTAAGATTGCTAAAATTGAGGAACTCAGTCTCTCGAGTATCCATGCGAGCCCCGTCATGAACATACAACAACGCCAAGAGGACTGGATCTCAGATATCATCACCTTCATCTCCGCAGGGCAGCTACCCGAAGATGAGACCCGCGCTAAACTAGCAAAGCTGAGGGCTCCTAGCTACACCATCGAAGACGGAAGGCTCTACAAACGGTTCTACAACGGCACGCTACTTCGGTGCCTTCATCAAGATGAAGCCGAGGTCGCAATGGAGGAAGTGCACAGTGGCACTTGCTCAGCTCACTAGGGACCCTTCTCCATGTCCCGAAGGCTCATTCTCCAGGGCTACTTCTGGCCAACCATGGCCAGGGATTGTGCTGACCTTGCCCGAAGGTGCACCGCATGCCAACATTTCCAGAAAGCCCCCGGCAGGCCAGCGGTCAACTATGCCCCCATCAGCACATCCGTCCCCTTTTCTCGATGGGGGATAGACCTTGTGGGCCCTCTGCCGAGGGGTACCTCCAACAACAGGTACATCATTGTGGCCATCGACTACTTTACCAAGTGGGTGGAGGCTGAGCCCCTCGCCAGTATCACAGAGGCGAAGTGCCGTCACTTCGTCCTCAAGAACATCCTCACAAGGTTTGGCGTCCCCCAGCAGATCATTTCCGACAACGGAACACAATTTGAGGCAGCCCCTTTGTGTGCCCTTCTGGAGGCATGGGGCATCAAACACACCTTCTCCTCCGTTGCCTACCCTCAAGGCAACGGGCAAGTATAGAACGCCAACCGGACCTTGCTCGAGGGCCTCAAAAAGAAGCTGGAGGCCGAGGGCGGCGGCTGGGTAGAAGAACTCCACAACATCCTTTGGGCCTACCGCACCACCCCTCGACGAGCAACAGGTGAAACACCCTTCTCCCTCTGCTACGGGTTTGAAGCCAAAGCTCCTACGGAAGTCACCCTTCCCACCCGGAGGGTGATCCAATATGACCCCGAGGTCAACGACAGCAACATGGCCCTCGACCTCCACCTCCTTTCAGAACGCCGGGAGCAAGCCTTCATCCGGGCAGAGAACTACCGAAGGCAAGTCAAAGGCTACATCGACGCCAAGGTTCGCACCCGAGAATTCCAAGTGGGGGACTATGTCCTCCGGAGGAGGGAAGCCAGCCAACCGACCGAGGGAGGCAAAATGGCACCAAAGTTCGAAGGTCCCTACATCATAGCAGCCATCATCAAACCTGGGACTTACAAGCTCAAACGCCCCAACGGGAAAGAGGTCTCTAGGCACTGGAATGTACACCACTTAGTTAAATTTTATCAATAATGTAAGAGCGGCCAAGCCCTCATAACTAGTGAATGTACTATCCTATGGCCCAAGGCCTCCAATTTTGAAGAATGAAGACACATTCAAGACACCAAGAACAACCGCAAAACACTTATGAGCGGCCAAGCCCTCATACCAACTACAGGCCCCAGGCCTCACCACGAGAAGAACCCCCTCCGGCACCAAGTGCCGAGGGAGGACACCACCAACACCTTCAACAACAGTGAAAACACCAAGTGTTTCGAACAAGACCCCTCGGTACCAAGTACCGAAGGTGGGGACTCCCATCACCGGCAACAGGAAACACCAAGTGTTTCATTTCAAGACCCTTCGACACCCAGTGTCGGGGGTACACATCTCCACCATCAACATCAAAAAGAAAAAGAACATCAAGTGTTCCTACAGAACACCCCTCGGTACCAAGTACCGGGGGTACACATCTCACCCATCAACGTCAAATAAAAGAAGAACACTAAGTGTTCCTACAGAAGACCCCTCGGTACCAAGTACCGGGGGGCTACATATCGAAACTAACACCAAGTGTTGTTTCTAAAAGCCGTACCCCACGAGGATGCATATACCGAAGGCGCCACCATCGGTGCCGGCGACACGTAGTGTCCCCGGCCATTTGCAACTAGTGTGCAAATGAAAACCCTTCCTTGAAACGCTTTCCGCGTCACTAACCCCAGGGTATGACAGACATGAGAAATGCCCAGGATTCGACTTTCAAAAACGGAACGCTTTCCGCGTCATCACCCCAAGGGTATGACAGGCACGAGAAATGCCCAGAATTCGACTTCCAAACTGAAACGCTCCCCGCGCTACCACCCCAAGGGTGTGGCAGGCCACGGACTATGTCTAGCGCCGAGGGGACGACTTTCAGAAATGAGGCGCTTTCCGCGCCATCCCCCAAGGGGAGGCAGGATACTGACCACCATATCTTGTGCCCAGGAAACGACCCTCAATCCCCTCGGAACTCGGAAGGTTAACCCGAGGGAGGAGAGCCATTGGTGTATTCTGATGGTCTCCTGATAGGCCCAGCCTTACCAAGAAACCAAGTTTCTTGATTCCTTCCCTTCACCACCAACCAAAAAAAAAAGAGGGGGTGAAGGGGAGTAGACTCATCGAGAAATCAATGAGTACAACACTCCAACAAATCATAGCATACCGAGGGCTTCCTACGGGAACACCTCCGGTAACTGAAGGCTCCCATTTCCCGAAGGTTACTACTCAACAATACAAAGGGATTGGACTGTCTCAAATACACTAAGCGGCTAAGTCCACTTCAAATAAGTGCCGAGGGCACCTACCATTGGTCATCCATTGCCACCGAGGGGTCCTATCCCGTAAAAGGGGATGCAACTGACTAAGGCAACTCAACAACCCTTCAAGTGAATGCCGAGGGCACCTATATCCCACCAGCATTCACTACAACATCAATGTCCTACAAATTTTCCTAGGTCCACACTTTTGGAAAATGACAACAGCCGAAGGCATCTATTACTAACCGAAGGCTACACAAGAAAGCAACACTTAGAAAATTTTCTAAGTCCTGAAGATTGAGCCCCCGGCCTGATCAATATTTCAACTGAGGGACCATGATAACCGAAGGCTACACAAGGAAGCAACACTTAGAAAATTTTCTAAGTCCTGAAGATTGAGCCCCCGGCCTGATCAATATTTCAACTGAGGGACCATGATAGCCGAAGGCTACCTGATGCAACAACATTTAGAAAATTTTCTAACTCCTATATATTGGGCCCTCGGTCCAATATTCACACATCAGGAAGGAGGCTACCAGCCGAGGGCTTCCAATGGGGAACTACACTTAGAAATTTTTTCTAAGTCTTAAGGATTGGGTTCTCAACCTAATCATCTCACAGCAATTGAACTACAAACACCCGAAGGCCCTATGGTGTGCTACACTTAGGAAAACAAGCTAAGTCCTAAATGCTTTGCCCCTTGTGGAGCCACCAGCCAGCCGAGGGCATACCGCAAACACCTCACCGTCACCCGAGGGCTCCAACTTCACACATACTACACTTAGGAAAATTCCCTAAGTCCTGCATATTTTGGCCCTCGATCAACTCTCCATACTACCGGAGGGGCCACACGATTGAAGGCTTGGTGAGACTACACTTAGAAATATTTTCTAAGTCCTAACTATTGCTGGGCCCTCGGTCATATATCCAGCGAGGGGTGCCCAACTACCGAAGGCTAAAAACTGTATTCAAACACTTAGAAAATATTTCTAAGTCCTGAACATTGTCCCCTCGGTGAAAGGTTCAACTGACTAAAGATTTCTAATAGCCGAGGGCTACAAGGGGCACCGCACTTGGAAGAAAATATTCTAAAGTCCTAAACATACATTAAAGAAGGGCGAAGGCATACATTCAAGAGAAAACGACGACATACATTCGAGAGGAAATAAATTAAAGAAAACAAGTCAAATACGCAAGGCCCGAGGGCTAACATTCATCCATCAAAAAGAAGAGTAAATGTAATTGTTACAACGATGGCCAGGGCCGGAAGCATACAAATGCGACCATTACAAAGTAAGTCCCAAATATTTACTAAGTACAGATTACAAATCAACAACATCATTCCCGGGGGCCGCCTCCTCCGATGGCTTCGAAGTGACCTCTGCATCGGCCTCAGGTTCGTCACCCTCGGCTTCCTTCCGGAGCTCGGTGTCCTCCAGGTCTGGCCTCTCGACATCGGAGGGGAGAGGGACACGGACGTCTGGCTGCAGGGGGAAGCCCGTATGCCGCCGGGTCGAAGTCCTTCGGCTCAATTTTCAAGTGGCGAGCCATCCTCCGATAGATGAGGGCTTGGGTGAAAAACTCACCCCCATCATAATATTGTTTGCCCTTTCGGGCCATCCATTCCTCACCCGGGCCCTCGCACCACTCATCAACTGAGGCCTCCACAACCGAGGACACCCACTCCTTGTGTCCCTCGGCCTTCCACCCCCCATCCAGGAACCCGGAGATGGCCTCCTTCCGGGCTGTGACGACAGCCTTCGCTCTGACGGCCTCAGCCTCCTCGGCGGCTTTCTTTGCGGCCTCCGCAGCAGCCTCCTCAGCTTTGGCTTTCTCCTCCCTAAGCCTTTCGGCCTCCGCTCTCGCAAGCTGGAGGTCCTCTTCGAGCTGGGCCATCAGCTTCGTGGCCTTGGAGTCCTTGAGAATGAGCTCCTTCATCTTTGCGTCTTGCCCAGCTTTGTGGAGACGCCATTCCTCCAGCCGTCGGGCCTGCTCTCCGAGGGCAATGCAGGTCTACAAAAATAAAGGAGTTAGCAGTGCCGAACATGATTTCCTAGCTCGAAGTAAAGAAGAGAAAGATTACTATCATAGACTTACCGTGAGGGAAGACCGGAGGATCCTGTCCTCGAGGGCTTGGTCATCATCAGCCCCGAGGGCTGCCCTGTCAATATCGAGGGTTATACCTCTCAGAAGCGCCCTCGGGTCAGCTGTGCCATTCAACACGGCCGTACCAGCCGGGAGGGAGAGCGTAAGGACCTCGAGAGATGGCTCCTGGACACCCCCCGGCACCTTCGCCACTGGCATCTCCTCGTGCACCCCGGAGGCGGGGCAATCATCCACAATCACCACCGGGGGGTCCTTCTTCGTGGTGTCCCCCTTCTTCGATTTCTTGCTAGCCGGGGGGGATTCCTTTGCCGTTGTTTTCCTCTTCGCGGCAGCAGCATCGCCCTCGGGCTTCTTGAAAAATGCACCGACGGGCTTTTGGCCGCCCGCGTCCGACCCCTTCGGATCCTTGGTCGGTTTGTTCTTGAATCGAGCAAGGCCTTTGACGTTCATCATATTCACTGGGATACCTGCAAAAATAGTATGGGGTTAAAATCGAGGGGTTACTAACAGAAGGCACAAGAAATAAAAGAACAAACAGATAAACTATGTGCTAAGATATGAAAATGAGGGTGCCCTCAGCCACTACCTCCGGAGGCTCCCTCAAACACCGGGAACTTCTCATCTGTTTCCCCCAGGAAGCGATACCGCCGGAACCCGAGGGTGTAGAGATCTTCCTCCTTGGTGCACTCCTTAATGGTAATATTTTTGTCCCGGCCCTCCGGGATCGTGGCCAGAATCCTGCCGTCTTTCTCGAGGGTGGCGCTCCTCCTCTTCTCGTGCCTCCTGAAACGGTCACGCAACGCCCTCGGGAAGGGGCTCTCGGTCAGCTTCACGTAGCACCACCGGTCCTTCCACCCCTTGTTCGAGGAGGGCGCCTCAGTGAAGAGCTTGAACATTGCCACCTGCTGCAAGTTTGCGAAGCCCTCGGCATTCGCATCCCCCCCCCGGCACAGATTGAAGCTCTGGAAGAAGAGGTCCAGGCTAGGTGTCACCCCCCGAGACTTGCAGAGCTGGAGGAAGCCGGTAATGTAGGAATGGCTGTTCGGGGTCAGCTGGCAGGGAACCAAACCCACGAACCGGAGGTACTCCCGGAGGAAAGGGTGCAGGGGGAAGCGGAGCCCCATGGACACCGAGAGAACGTGCACCGCAATACAGCCCTCGGGAGCCCGGGAGAGGACGTCATCTGGACCCGATGTCACTACGATGGCCGAGGGGGCCACGTGAAGTTGAGTGACGTAGATGTCCGCCGCATCAACCTTTGACCTTATTTCCAAGGCGGCGGTGTTCAGGTAGGAGTACCCCTCGGGCATATCGAGGGGCTTCCCTTGATCTGCAACGTTGCCCTTCTTCTTGGGAGCAGCTACCTTGGCCTTCTTCTTTCCGGGGGCCACCCGGATGGGAACCGCGTTCAGCGGCCGAGAGGTGCTGGCCTCACCGGCACCCCGAGGGGGAAGGACGGCCACGGTCACCCTCGTCCTCTCCTTTGCTTCCTCCTCCTCTGCAACCTGCATGGCGAGGGCCAGCTCTTCGTCTTCCACCTCCTGCTCGAAGCCCTCGGCTTCAACTTCAGCCAACAGCTCCTTCTGCACTTCTACTGCCATCGCAACATCCTCCTGGGCCGAGGACTGTTCGTTTGAGGACTCCACATCCAAGAGGACTTCATCCTCCATCGAGGGCGCCCCCGAGATGTCTTGAGAATCACTCTGTGAAGACATTGTTATACTACGTCAAGGGTTCGGAGACGCTAAGTACTCTAAGCTACCCACCTAATCTAAGGCCACAAAGACAGCTAGCTAAGAGGTGAAGTGCGAATGGAGAACTGACCTTAGAATCTGATCGAGGGCTGCTGTTTCTCTCTCTAGAAAATTTGGCAGAGCTTCGCTATAAGGATTTCGCAAAAGGGGAAGGAAGCCCGGCCATGGGTATTTATAGGCGCTGGGATCCGGGCTTGGGCCTGGAAACCGGGCCTCCGGATGGACTGTCATCATTACACGCCGTGTCTTCGCCCAACCGGTGACGCCGCCCACGGACAGCCAACCATCACGCGCCACGTGTACCCCCCCAACGGCTATATCCTGACGTTACATATTCCAACGGCTATATTTCCAACGGCTATATTCTGGGAGCCCCCGGATTTTCTTACTTCACTCCACTTCATCAAGGAGAGCCTCCGGGTACACTTACCCAGAGACGCCCCCGGGTTGTACCCCACACAGTACATAACAGTCGCCTTCGGGATCACTCCTTCAGAAGCCCAAGGCTTCATATCAGGCCACCCCTCGGGGATTCCCCCTCAGCACTGTAAGGGCCGGGTAGCCCCCGGGGAGTATGCCTCATTGACGGATAGCCTACGGCACACAGGTAATGGGAGCCCTCGGATATCCTCATCACCAACTAATCAACAAGCAGGGGACACCCCGCTAACAATTCAACTACTGCCCTCATCCATCACGCCCTCGATCCCCAGATTGAGGGGCTCCCCTTCGGCACCTCCCATGACATCAACGACAAGCCTCCGGCTACTCAACACATGAGCCCTCAGAACAAGGAGAGCCTTCGACATTACCGTTATTCTCCATTTTGGACCAAGGTTTCACATTTTCGATTCATCGTTGGGGGAATTCGGTGCACTCTTTTTCCCTCATTAGGATTTTTTCCCACAGGGTTTTTCCTAATGAGGTTTTTAACGAGGCATCCCCCCAAAATGAAACGAAAAGCGTCAGCCTTCGGCCCGCAACAGCAACGCAACTACTTCACTCCTTTTCACCACTTTGCAAGTGCCTCAAGGAGTGGGGGACTGGAGGACCCCCTCGGGAAAAATCACAAAAATTACAAACATGACCCCTCAAGTCCCGACATGTGGGTAACTGAGGGGCTACCCTCGGCAGAATAAACAAACAACAAACTACCCACGACTCTACGAACTACAAACGAAACAACGGCAGAAGACAAGCACAATTACTCCTTTTCCCTCAAGTACCTTTCGACAAAAGGAGTGAGGGACTCCTGATGGAGTATATGGCCCGGGAACCCCCGGCCCACAGACTCCTACTACTCCAAACGAGGCCCAACAGGCCCCAGAAGGCCCAACAGGCCCAGAAGGCCCAACAGGCCCAAATCACAGCGCCCAGAGTACCAAGCAGCCCACAATGCGCACCAGGGGCGCCTTCGGCCCCCCTGGCCGAGGGCTCTAACTCCCACATGAGGGCCAAAACAGGAAAACAAGATGACTGGGGAAAACGGCGAAAATCACTAGCCCTCGGCACCTGGAGCCCTCGGCACCGAGAGGGTCCCCAGTACTCAGAGCCCTCGGTTAGTCCTCTACAGCCGAGGGCACCTTTCCCGACATGATATCCGCACCACATGCGTACAGATCACCGTACCCTGTACAAACGTCTCATCCAACAGCCGCATTAAATGCGGCCACATGCGGCTGCCAGCGCCAACCAGTTGAGGTGACCTCTCGGCCAATGGGCGCTTGACACGTGTCCCTGTCCGGCATTTATTGTTACTATAAATAGCACCCCATTTCCCCATTTGTGACCACGCTGAAAAACGCTCCACACTTTATAATATACTTTCTCTCTATACTTACTTGCTCTGACTTCTCTCTTATTACTCCCCGTGATAACCCCTCGGATAAGCTACCCCCCGGGTACACTATCCATCAACAACATATTTTTTAAACTAGAGTCAAATGTAGCAATTAATAAAAAATTGTAAAAAACTAATTAACTATTTATCTAACTATTAAATCGAGTTATAGCAAATTAACTAGTGAATTAACTAGTTTTGTGTACAACATATTTTTTAAACTAGAGTCAAATGTAGAAATTAATAAAAAATTGTGAAAAAGTAATTAACTATTTATCTAACTATTAATTCGAGTTATAGCAAATTAAGTAGTGAATTAACTACTTTTGTGTACAACATATTTTTTTAAACTAGAGTCAAATGTAGCAATTAATAAAAAATTGTAAGAAAGTAATTAACTATTTATCTAACTATTAAACTAGAGTCAAATGTAGCAAATTAACTAGTAATTAAACAAGTGTAAATAATAGAATAATTTCGTACCTCTTTCGAACTTTCGGTCTTTCGGATGGGAGTAATAGAATGACTTCAAATTAATTAGATATAAATCCAACTATATTAATAGATATAATAAATATATAAGTAATATATAATTAGATAACAAATAAAAGTAATAATAATACTATTTATATCTATTTATAGTTTATATAAGTAGATAATTAATATAAACTATAAATAATAAATATAATATATTGGAGAATGGTGGAAGGAAAAAGAAAGAACATTCCCAGTTTTATCAAAGATGACTAAGAAAGTGCTAACAATGCTGGTATCAGCAATTGCCGTGGAATAAGAATTTAGTGTGGCCGACAACATGCTAACGAATTATAGAATAAGATTGAACGCAAGCTCTCTTGAAACACATGTTTGCTTCCACGATTGGTAGAAGGTCCAACGTAGAACACAAGAAGAAAAAAACCAAAGATGACGGAAATTCCGATTGATTATTATTTATTAGAAAATGTATTGCATGTTATAAATTTTTCTCAATTCTCAATTGTACTTCATATTTCAAATAAATATACTTTAACTTTTTTATATCTGGCAATTCTTGAATTAATGTGTAAACAACATAAAAAATAGCCCAGACCCGTCCAAGGCCGGTTCCAGGACTAAACTCAGTAAAAAAAGCCCACCCAAGACCCAACCCAAGATTTTCACGAAAGAGTTGAAAGAAAATCATCGCATACCAAACATTAATCCTCACAAATTTGGAAATCAAATTAAGACCGTGGGCATGACAATAACGTAATATTTAAGTTTTCTCAAGTCATCAAAAATAAATCACCCTCACATAGAAAGGAGGTGTTGCGTGCAGATGTTTGGGTTCACAAGCACGTCCAAAATTCAAATTATTACACAAACATAAATTAAAATTGTATAGCCTGAATGAATTTTAAAACTCACTTTTATCATCACCATCTAGTGGACATTGCAAAAACAATGTGTAGGAGCTTATTATGCCCCACCGGAACCATACTTCTTTCCGAACACAATAAGCTGAAGCTTGTCATATCCGGCCAATACACCAGCACCAGCAACAGCTCGCAGAATGTTAGCACCAGCACCCTTGAACAGAGATTTGGCTCCCTCGTTCTTTAGGATCTGAGAGAATGCATCAAGAGAACTCTTATACTTGACTGCCTCACCAGATGTCATCATCATTCTTCTACGAACTGTATCTATTGGGTAAGATGCAAGCCCGGCACCGTTTGTAATGAGCCAACCAAGACCAAAGCTAGCAAAGAAACTATCCTGCAAACACAAAAATGGGAAGAAAAAGTAAGATTATAACTAGTTGAAATGCTGAGACAAGAAAATCATTCATTTGAGATATTGTTATCATGTCATTTGTTTAAAGGCTTAGATATCTTAGTTATTCGACCCTCGGTCCCTCACCCTGCAAATATAACACCTTTTGGTGTAATTCCTAGCAATTTTCTTTTGTTTTTCAACCCTGCAAATATGTCAATTTTTGTCTAGTCCATTCATGTGCAACTCTTGGATGATCTCAATTTTGGAGAAAAAAATGGTCTAACTCGCATAACTCATCTCTGAACTTTTCAAGTCTAACTTTTTAACTTTCAAGGCTTTTAGTGGAATTAAGTCAAAGTGAAAGTAACCATTCATATTTCTAACCATCATAAATAAAATCTGGTATTTTTAAAATTGAAATGACATGAAAAAAGAAGATATAAATCATGTTAGGCGTGTATGTTTTATTGTACAAAGCAAGGTTGCTAGGGAGTGGCTAGGTACTAAAATGAAAATACTAAAATTATGGGAATACGGCAACAGTCACATTATCCAGTGACACAAAGGTTCCCGTCTACAGTGGGCTAAGGGGGGTCAGATGTACTCAGCCTTATCCCCGTACTAAAGCACATAGACTGTATAAATCACGGGAATGAAAAAACAAAAGTAATTCTGGAAGGACCTACAATAAAAACCTATATTTGTTGAAACTTAAAATAAATTTAAGTCTATTAAGTAACACAAACTGGAAACAGGCTACGTTTGGTAGGTAGCCAAAAGTAGCATATTCTGCTTAATCACAATAATAAGCTGTTGGCTTATATGCTTGTGGCTGAAATGCACTCTCTTTAAAAAGCATTTTTCCTTCAGGCTGTAAATGAACATAAGGATGGATGAAAGCATAAAAGAACAAACCTCTAAGCTTCCTGTCAAAACAACTGGCTTGATGGAGTCATATAGCCCAAAGTACAGACCACGATAGACAATAATTCCAACGCAAGATATATTGAATCCACGGTAAAGTCCAGCAACACCATCAGTGGCAAGTGTCTTCTTGTAGACATCAACCAACCCATTGAACTGCCTCTCACCTCCCTTCTTTGCAGCCTTGGCATCATTAGCCAAACGGGTACGGGCATAGTCCAATGAGTACACAAAAAGTAATGATGAAGCCCCAGCAGCACCACCTGAAGCAAGATTTCCAGCAAACCATTTCCAGTAGCCATCGCGGTCCTTCTTGAAGTTAAAGAGCCTCTTGAAGTAATCCTTGAATGCGAAGTTCAAGGCCTACAAAAGCAGCAGCACATATGGTTATTCAATAGCTGTAATACTTTACTGAGAATTGAAAAGGGAAAAAAGTGGATATTAGATTATAAGCTAAAGATTCCAAAAGTCTGTCTGCAATCGGAAGATGCTATGCAAAGAAAATAGGGAGGAGATTATGGAAGAAATATAAAGCAAAGAAAATGTAGAGCAGAATAAAATAATTGTTCAAACTCAATAAATTTGTGCCTTTTACTTGTTCAAATTCATATTTGTAATATATATCTATCATCTATACACTAAAAATCTGATCATATGTAAGAAATTTTGAAACATAAATCATATCTCATTTCATTGCATATCAAAGTAATAGCAAACATAAGAAAATAACTTTATGGAATCCAAACATAGCTTAAATAATACAAAAAGAAGAAAATAGATGACCTGTGTGGGGAAGTAACGGATAACATTGGCAGTGTTTCCTCTCCATAGTGCAACAAATCCTTCATCCTTGATGGTTCGGCTGAAGCAGTCACCAATACCCTTGTAAGGTTCAGCGAGCCTACCAGACTTAATCATTTCATCCTGGTTTTGAATCAACAATTTAACACGTTCAATAGGGGCAGCTGCAGTCTTGGAGACAGCAGCAGAAACACCACCCATGAGAAAGTCAATTGCAAAACTAGCAAATCCTTTCTCTGCAGGAGCTTGCACAAACACTGGTGAAGCATTCGCACTAATTGATGAAAGATCCATGCCAGTTTGGCACTGTTTCATACATGCATTGTTGTAGTTTCCATGCATTGAATACAAAGTAGGCCTGGGTAATGCCCCATAGCGAGCTTGGGCATCTTGGAAATGACTTGAGCTCAGTTGAAGTTGGCTGGCTACCTTCTGAACAACAGTGGGGTAATAAGACATGTCTGCCATTCTGCTCTTTAACTATCTCCTGAAAAGAAAAAGTGTAAAACTAATAAACACTTCAGATGGTTTAGGTGAAGCTTTTTTATTATTTTCAACTCATTTCAAAGTTATGGATATATACACATTTTTCAACAACACAACATTACACGCACTCATCTTTATCTTAATTTTAACTCAAAGCAGTGGACAAATGAAAGGCTGTGTTTATATGTATGTCCTGACATGATACGTACACTGACCCCTCCCCCATGTTTTTGTTAAACACTGAAAGCTCAAACCACACAAAAAACAGCAAATTCCTGCAAGTTCTGGGTTTAAGTGCATTCAAGCAACAAATCCGTAAATTATTAACACAATAACATCAAACCTCCACAGAAAAAATCAGAGTGGCAGCCGTGGATTTAAACACGAGAAACTCAGATTGGCAGTGTACTATAGAGTAGATCTGTTTAAATGAGTTCTTTGGTATAATAGATTAATACAACAAAGTAATTAATATTCATCTTGACAGAGCCACTAACTAATTAATATACATTTGGACAGAGACCATACATGTGACTATCTATCTCTTATGTCTACTTGTTCAAACATTTCAAGTATTCAACTTAAAGAATATGAATTTGATAAAAAGATGGTTATTGTTTCTACATAACTTCAATATTAAAAATTTACATGTAAATTACATTATTTCAATTATTGCACCACCTATCCGGCTATCCAGCATAATATACCTTTCCCTTCCAGTAATTTTTACCCAAAAAATGCAGCAGTAAGTTATCCCATTACTATAAGGAAGAATCATTACCAAACACTCCAACCATAATCATTTTATCATACAACAGAGAATACCATTTCTAACTCTGTTTTTTAGAGAGAAACAGAAGGAAGAATCAATTCAAAACACCCCACATATACTTAGGAAAGCATAATTTAAAGGGGCAGAGGTGGAGGGGTGGCCAACTAGGCCCTGACCCAGGCCAAATTTTAAAATTGCTTATATTTTTGATGTAAAAATTTATGTGTGAAAATTTATCCTTAAAAAATCTTTGTACCGGCCCAGCCAACTCTTACTCCTGGCTATGGCCCTTATAATTTACATGTATATATAAGCTAAGGCATCTTCAACCAAATGAGATCTGGAGATCCACATTCATTGACGCACAAACGACAAATCTACAACACCTCAATTGAGGAACTCACTGATAGATCTAAACTAACGAAGTCCGATTCAAAGATAGCTTGATGAACATGACATAACTGATACGAATAAAATAAAAACAAATCAAATCATAAAACTCGTAGATCCAGACAATCCCGACCAAAAACATCTACGAAGGAAGAGGCAAAACAAATCAGAAGAGAGAAATGAAAAGTGCATATATAAAATCCTAACGAATCAGGGATCAAATCTCCGTCCAGACCACATAAAGTAAACACTACAAATTGTATAAAGGAGCATGCTATGGATATATACAGCTACCTGTGCTGAACTCGCCTCAGCGGGCGCCTTAGAGAGACTAATGGAGCAGGACGAGGCGCACTGATCTTAACAGAGAAAGCGGGAGGATTTTGAGCGACGAACGCCAGTTTATATAGTGGGTGACTTGCAGTATATATTCGGTGCTCAGCGGTGTACGCTTTGAACCATCACCCACCTTCGAGACTTTCGGTGTACTGTTGATCCTAAGAACATCAAAGGGTTGACATTGCATAAAGAGTGACTACAAATTTGAGTAATCGCTACCTCCGTCTCGATGGGTTCTCATGATAGAGCGTCTTTACTTACTCAAATTTGAGACGTCGGTCTTGTCTGGTTTAATCTATCTTGTTTGATCTAAAATGATTTGGTCTAATCTCTTAAATGTTTTGTATTTTATAACAATGGAAGTCTAATTTTGTCTAATTTCTTTAAGTCTAGTCTGAGACTGAAAACAGATCAAATAAAAACATCCAAAATGACATTAAATAATAGTTAAATAAAATAATTTGAGTATATTTTGAAAAATAGTTTTAATGAATATGTAATATAATGATGCCATTGGTGATAATTGTGATATATATATATATGTTTTGGTTCAAATAAGAATGATGGATGGTCTACCCGGGGGTATGTATCCGGAGGGTTATTGCGGGGAATAACTAGAGAGAAGTCAGAGCATAAGTAGGAGAGAGAGAGAGAGAGAGTATTGCTGAGAAAGTAGTGAACGTATTTCGCTTGGATTACAAATGGGGAAAAGAGGCGCTATTTATAGTAGTAATAAATGTCAGATAGGGACACATGTCATCATTCTGGTGGTCGAGGGGACACCTCAACGGGGTGGCGCTGGCATTCGCATGTGGCCGCATTAAATGCGGCTGTTGGATGTGACGCCATACTTGGTACGGTGATTCAGGCGCATGTGGAGAGGATATTATGTCATGAAAGGTGCCCTCGGCTGCAGGTGATTAGCCGAGGGCTCTGAGTACCGGGGACCTCCTTAGTGCCGAGGGTTCTAGGTGCCGAGGGTTACTGATTTTCTCCGTTTTCTCCCAGTAACTTTGTTTGCTTGAGTTGGCCATCCTGTGAGAATTGGAGCCTTCGGCCAGGGGGAAGCCCGTCGATATGCCCGAGGGGTACTCCTTCCTGAATACCGCCGCCCTCGAGATAAGATCGAAGGCTGATGAGGCGGACTTCTATGTTACCCAGCTTCATGTGGGGCCCTCGGCAACGGTAGTGCCACCGGGACCTGATGATGTCCTCTCCTGGGCCCCCGAGGGATGTATAGCCGTCCACATTCTCTCGGTGTCAATGGGCCTCCGATTCCCTCTGCACCCTTTTCTGCGTGAGTACCTTCGGTACGTAGGACTGCTTCCCTGCCAGCTCACGCCGAATAGCCACTCGTACATCGTTGGGTTCCTTCATCTCTGTAAGTCCCGGGGGGTAACACCTAGCTTGGACTTATTCTTCCAAAGTTTCAACTTGTGCCGGGGGGCATGCGATTGTTGAGGGCTTCGCGAACCTGCAGCAGGTGGCCCTATTCAAGTTATTCACTGAGGCGCCTTCCTCGAACACAGGTTGGAAGGAGCGATGGTGCTACGTCAGGCTAGCTGAGAGCCCCTTCCCAAGGGAGCTGTGCGACCGGTTTAGGCGGCATGAGAAGGTGAGGAGCGCCGCCCTCGAGAAGGATGGTAGGATCCTGGCTAAGATCCCGGAGGGTCGAAACAAGAATATAACCATCAAGGAGTGCACTCTGGAGGAGGATCTCTATACCCTCGGGTTCCAGCGGTATCGCTTCCTGGGGGAAACAGATGAAAAGTACCCGGCGCTTGATGGAGCCTCCGGGGGTTTAGGAGGTAGAAGCCGAGGGCATCTTCATATTCGTACTTAGCATACATTTTTATTCTCTTTTTGTACTTTCATGTCATTTATTGATGACCTGCCGACGTAACCCCTTATTGTTTTGCAGGTATCCCGGTCTCCAAGATGAACGTCACGGGGCTTGCTGATTTGAAGAAGAAGTCCTCCAAAATTCCGAAGGGGGCGGATGCGGGCATCCAGAAGCCCGCCAGTGACTTTTTCAAGAAGTTCAAGGGCCCGTCGACGGTCCCTACTGCTGATGTCGCCGCCGCCGCGAAGAGGAAGGCCGCAGGCAAGGCTCCCGAGGGGAAGAAGCCCAAAAAGGGAGATACCGGGAAGAAGGATCCTCCCGTGGTGATCATAGATGAGCGCTCCGCCTCCGGGACGCATGTGGAGATGCCGGCGGCTGAAATGCCGATGGGTATTGGGGAGCCACCCTCCGATGTTTTGCAGGTTTCTCTCCCGAGGGGAACAGCCGTGATGAACTGCACGGTGGATCCGAGGGTGCTCCTGAGGGGCATAACCCCTGAGATTGACAGAGCCGCCCTCGGGGCCGATGATGACGTGGCCCTCGAGGACAAGATCCTCCAGTCTCCCCTCACTGTAAGTTTCTTCACTGTTACCAATCTACCTTGCGTTAGGATATACTGCATAGCTTTCCTAACTCCTTTGTATCTTACAGGCTTGCATTGCCCTCGGCGAGCAGGCCCGGAGGCTGGAGGAGTGGCGCCTGCACAAGGCTGAGCAGGACGCGAACATGAAGGAACTTGTTCACCATAACTCTGATGCCATCAGGCAAATGGCTACGCTGGAGGAGAGCCTTCGGCAGATGACGCTGCGGGCGGAGGCTGCTGATCGGGGTAAGGCCGAGGCTGAGAGGTCCGCAGTTGAAGCCCTCGAGAAGGTCGCCAAGGAGGCCGAGGCCGCCAAGGCGGAGGCCGTTGCCAAGGCACGGGAGGAGGCCATCTCCGGATTCCTGGCGGAGGGGTGGAAAGCCGAGGGGCACAAGCAATGGCTGTCCTCGGTTGTGGAGTCCTCTGTTGACGACTGGTGTGATGGGCCCGGCGTAGAGTGGGTTTCCCGAAAGGGCTAGCAATATTATGATGGGGGTGAGTTTTTTACTCAAGCCCTCATCTACCGGAGGATGTCCCGTCATTTGAAGATCGACCCGAAGGACTTTGACCCGACAGCATATGGCCTCCCTCCCCTACAGCCAGACGTTCGTGTTCCCCTCCCTCCGGATGTCCAAAGGCCAGACCTAGAAGATACAGAGCTGATGAAGGAGGTCAAGGGCGACGGTGAGGAGGCTTGAGTAGAGGTCACCTCGAAGCTTGCTGAGGAAGCAAAGGCTGAGTGAATTTGTACTTTGTATTTTTTTGAAGGAACAGGCTTTTGTAATGAACATCTGTTTGCTTTCGGCCTCGGCCATCCTGTAATAGACATTTCAACTTTTCCTTCTTCTTGATGAATGAATGTCTGCCTTCGGGCCTTTGTATATGAATCTGTTTTGTTTTTGAATGTATGCCTTCGCCTTTCTTTGTGAATGAATGTATGTTTGTGCGGTATTCTGGCCGAGGGGCCAACTTTTAGGACTTCGAAAATGTTTTTCTAAGTATAGTGCATCCCGTAGCCCTCAACTACTAGGTCCGTTTAGTCATCTGAATATTTCACCGAGGGCCAAACGTTCAGGACTTAGAAACTTTTTCTAAGTGTTGTTCATCTGTTGGCCCTCGGCTAATTCCTTCCCTCTGATTCTGTGTAGCCTTCATGAGATGACCGGAGGCTAAGCGCTTAGGATTTAGAAAATTTTTCTAAGTGTTTGAATATCATCTGGCCTTCGGTATGTGGGGCCTCCGGGCTTGCAGAATTTTAGGTGGCACCCCTTGGTCATGTGGCAGTAGTAGTTGCCTTCGATCTCTGTTGATCATAAGAGCCTTCGGCGTTCCTTGAAATGTTGTTGGGTGGACTTAACCACTTCTATCTATTTTGTAGGATTAGAGCCTTCGGCTTCAGTGACTTGTCCATTTGTTGATGTTTGTGTACTCATTGATTTCTCGCTGAGTCTACTCCCTTTTACCACCCCATTTTTTTTTGTAGTGAAGGGAAGGCTTCAAGAAACTTGGTTTCTTGGTAAGGCTTGGCCTATCGGGAGGTAATAGAATACACCATTAGCTCCCCCCTCAGGTTAACCTTTCGAGTTCCGAGGGGATCGAGGGTCGTTTCCTGGGCACAAGACATGGTCTGTAGCCTGCCTCCTCTTGGGGGATGGCACGGAAAGCGCCTCAGTTTGAAAGTCGTCCCCTCGGTGCCAGACATAGTCTGTGGCCTGCCACACCCTTGGGGTAGTGGCGCGGGGAGCGTTTCGATTTGGAAGTCGAATCCTGTGCATATTAGATGCATGCCAATCCCTGGAGGAAATGGCGCGGAAAGCGTTCCGTTTTTGAAAGTCGAATCCTGGGCATATTACTTGTCTGTCATACCCTTGGGGTAGTGACGCGGAAAACGTTTCAGGGAAGGGTTTTCATTTGCACACTGGTTGCAAATGGCGGGGGGCACTACGTGCTACCGGCACCGATAGGTGGCGCCTTCGGTATATGCGTCCTCGAGGGGTACGGCTTTAGAAACAACGCTTGGTGTTTGTTCCGGTATACGGCCCCCGGCACTTAGCACCGAGGGGTCTTCTTTGGAAAAAAACACTCGGTGTTTTTCTTCACTTGTTGTAGGTGATTGAGGTGTCTTCCCTCGGCACTTGGTACCGGAAGGTCTTCAAAGGAAACACTCGGTGTTTTCTTCCGTTTGTTGAAAATTGATAGTAGTGTATGCCCCCGGCACTGGGTGCCGAGGGGCCCTTATTGAAGACATTTGGTGTTTCCTTGTTGTAGGTGATAGTATAATCTACCCTCGGCATTTGGTACCGAGGGTTCTTACTTATGATAAGGCCTTGGGCCAGGGGCTGATATGAGGGCTTGACCGCTCATAAGAGTCTCGTTCCTTGTTCTTGGTGTCTTCAATATGTCTTCATTCTTCAAAAATTGGAGGCCTTGGGCCGTAAAATAATACATTCACTAGGTATGAGAGCTTGGCCGCTCTAATGCTATTGATAAAATTTAACTAAGTGATGCACATTCCAGTGTCTAGGGACCTCGGTCCCATTGGGGCGTATGAGTTTGTAAGTTCCAGGCTTGATGATGGCCGCCACAATGTAGGGGCCTTCGAACTTTGGTGCCATCTTGCCGCCCTCGGTTGGTTGGCTACCTTCCCTTCTTCGGAGGACATAGTCCCCCACTTGGAATTCCCGGGAGTGGACTTTGGCGTCAATGTAACTCTTCACTTGCCTTCGGTAGTTTTCCCCGCGTATGAAGGCTTGCTCTCGGTGTTCTGAAATAAGGTGAAGGTCGAGGGCCATATTGGCGTCGTTGACCTCGGGATCATATTGTGAGACCCT